CCCCCGCAATGCAAATCAAATATAGATAGCGCTGGGCTGCTTCGTTTCTTGATTGGTGTAATTGGGTGTCAAAGCTCAAGGTGAAGGTCTTATCATCCAACTTTGTGGCAGTGTCAATGCAAAGAAGATAGTCAGCAGAAGCAAAAGCAGAAGCAAAACCAAAGGTAGAAGCAAAAAGCAAAAGCAAAAGCAGAAGGAAAAGCAAAAAGCAAAAGCAGCAAGCAAAAGCAAATGCAGAAGCAAAAGCCAAAAGCAAAAAGCAAAAGCAGAAGCAAAAGCAGAAGCAAAAAGCAAAAGCAAAAGAAGCAAAAAGCAAAAGCAGTAGGTGAAAAAACACGAAAAATAAAATCCGAGAAAAAATGAAAAAAACTGAAAAAAATTACCATAAAAATCGGGTTTCCCTTGGTAATCGCCTGAGGCCGCCCAATAGAGAAGCCCTCAAAACAATCACCTATGAATCATTGGCAACATAACACATAAGAAAGAAGGATTATGGCTATGGTACTACATGTTCACCTCAAGCTGGAAGCCTGGTCGGGCCTGGCCGCGGTCAGGCCAAGGCACTGTTTGGAAGGCGAAGCCTTCACAGGATCATAGGTGCCCGGTCCAGGCAGTAAAGCAGGCGACCAAGAGCTCGAAAAAAAGACCACTGGCAGCCTCGAAACTGTCCACACGGCAGACTGGGAGTCCATTTCTCCCCCCCTCCCTGTCGGTCTGACGGTCTGACCGAGCCTGCTGGAGGAAAACTGCGTAGATGTTTGTGCAGAGTCAGACCCAAAGCCGGGGGGCTCTATGCCCTTTCCGTGGCCAGCACCTGCACATGGATGGTTCAAGGCCCCAACACCCTGCCTGACACAAAAGCCTTGTTACAAGCACTATGGTGTGGCCTTCCAGCCTGCACCAAGCTAGTGTTGAGAAGGGAGGTTGCCTTTTTGGAAGCCCATCCACGGTGAAATGTCCATCTCATTGTGGACATTCACCACCTATCCTCTTGGTGTGGTGCCGATTTCAGGGACTGAAGAAAAATCGTCCCAGTTAGGGCAGCGTTTTCTGTGATCCGTCCCGCCTTCTGGCGGCTCATGGTCGTAAGCTCCCGGCCCCGGGTTCTTGGCCATGGCCACATTGCCTCATGCCGGGAAGAGACCGGGAATGAATGAGAGTCAGGGAGTTGCCAACAGAGCATCAATCAACAAGATCTAGGCTTTCTTGTATCATCCCTCGACCATTTGGTCTGAGATGTGTCCGTCATAGTCCATCTTCAGAGTTCGTGCAATTGTCACGGTTCAAGCATGGCACCCCAAGAGCCATTTCGCTCACAGGCGGCATCAAAGTTTGCTACGGGCTTCCCACGGCCAATGTTGAGGTAATCAGGACCTTGCACACAGCACATCAAAGTAATCCATGCGCATCAACCTAATTAAGTTGTGATTTGCTTGCGATTTGCACAGTATGTCCATGAAAATCTAGGCCCCTAGCTGTACTCCCCAGGGTCTGGAGTATCTCCAGGCTCGCCCGTGAAGTTCCACTCGCCCCGAGCCCGCAAGGGCTTAATTGCGGGGGCCGTCCTTAGCATCAGCGAGCAAGGCGACATTGGAGGACCATTGGCACTCATTGGCCTCACAAGAACCTGAATTTAGTTCAGTGGTTTGACGTATCGATCATGACAAACAGCCAGAAACACTTTGGGTCTGTCTCTAATCACCGAAAAAAATCCAACCCAACGCATGACCCGTTCCAAACGTATCCTGTGTTTGGATGCATATCAAAACCGATTTGACACACATTCTCTCCTTCTCTCTCTCTCTCTCTCTCACAAGCATGTGTGATCTTGATGGATCTCCGCTTGCGAACAACTGGGTCTCGAACTCCGTTTGGAGCCTCACACCCTCCTTCACCGCTTGGATGGCACGCTCAGCACCCCAATCGAGCTTCCCTGGCCTGCTTCGGGCATAGGTCCCGCCTCCAGTTTCAAAACGGAGGTCGTCTAGGCCAACCCCGGTCATCATATATGTTCATATATGTGTATATACAAATAAATAAACCATATATATATACATTGATATAATTATATATATATATATCTATCTGTGTGAGTGTGTTCATCTGTCCATTCTGCTTGTTTTCAATGCTTTCCCAATCAGTTTCACGTCTGTGTCTTGACCAAAAAAAAGGCACGCCTGTGAAGGGGCGAAAGTCGATGGGGCGGGTGATGTCAGGGCCCGGCCCAGGATTGTCCAAGATGGTTGAAGCAATGAACCAACCAGATCCTGTCGAACAAGTGGAACGACACCCGTTCGACAGATCGGTGCGCACCGCACCTGGCACGAAGGTCGGCTCTCGAGGGTTCTGAGGGTTGCAACGGGATGTGGTTGAGCGGAAGGAACTTCTAGTGACCTCGGCGTCACTGCGAAGCAATGCAAGGCATGTCCAAGATGGACATGAACACTCTTCAACACATGTCAACACATCATCAGTCGGGCGGCATTTGGCTTCGACTGCTGCGGTTTGTCTACCACTGGATCGCTCGCCAGGCGTGACACAAGGTATTGCCCAGGGCCTGCGTGGCTCATCAAACACGCTAATACACATTGAAACACCCTTGGGCTGGATCCTCGGCTTCTGCACGGGAAACTCTCAGTTCCAGAATGTCCGAAGACTGTGCTGGGGGCAGGGCTCCACGGACCTGTGTAGTTTGATAAGGTTTGAGAAATGGCAGAAAAATAGAGGAGAAGAGCCTCAGAAGAGCCTGCTAGAACTTATATAATCTACACGACGAGAGTTGCACACATTGGAAAGCATAGCCAGCTTCGATGTCTCTGCTCCCTCTTCCAGTGAATCCACCCTTCAGCTCACTCTCAAACTGATACAAGAAGTGAAAAATTGATTCCTGAACGACGGTTAAACTGGAGGTTCCTGCCTGGGGTGTCGCCTGCATCGGCACCCTCTGGGCGAGCCCCAATGCCCATGGTGCAGCTTCGGCTCTTCGGCAGCAGAGGGTCGTAGGTTCCAGGGCCCACACCCCTCAGAGGATTCGGCTTCTTGACAAATGATGCAGCTCCAGTGTGTTTATTAAGCTTAGGGACTCCTCAGGAACCAATCCAAGGGAAGGGTAGCTCGGGCATTTTCCAGCTGGCTTTCTTTCAGTAATTGTGGAAGCTGAACATGCACGCCCAAGGTGCCACTAACATAGCGAAAGTGCGCCCATATAACCCCATATAACATTGGAAGTCCAAAAAACAATAGAAAAACATTCGGTGAGCTTCCTATGTGGTGTGGAGATAGTATCTTGACTGTCGTGGCATCAATGAAGCCAAGAAGATATGACGGTCCCGTGAACCACCCCCGTGTATCAAAAGTCATGCAGCGTTTGCGCTGTACCGCTGCCTCAGGCAAACTCAGACCAGAACACCCGACCAATGACAGTTTGGTGAAGTGAGCCGCTAGTGACCAGTGCACACCCAACTCAAAAAAGGAAAATGTCATCAGGTGGAAGATCCAGGACAAGGTTCACAAGCCATTTGACCTTAGCCTTTACCAGAGAAAGTCACCGCAGGTGATGAAAAGGAGGCGTGGTTCTGAGGATGTCGCCACTTCAAGAGCGGGACCTTTGCTAAGGTCTCGATTTGACGCTGGCGCTCCTACATTTTGAATCACCAAGTCGTCTGGGAGAACAGGAGACTAGTTATATATGTTTTTCTGGCTTCTCAATTTGAGCCCGTCGCCAGTTGAGGGAGTTGATATGCCCTCTACTTGTTTGTGAAATGCCCCACACCTGCCAGTCTTGAGCGATGGATTTGTCGCCTCGCTTGCGTCAAACTCCCCTAGAGTGGCCTGATCCCCTTTCATCTCAGACAAGCAGCGGGGTTCCAAAAACGAAGCATTCACTGACCACATCGCGTTCTCTGTGGAACGATGCCAAAAGTGCCATCAAACGCGGTGGGTGGAAAGAAATTGTTCCAATGGTATAGGCACTCCAAACTTGGTGAAGTTTTGCTGATTTGCTGGAGCGATGGTTTCAACTAACTAGCTGGGCATGTTGGTTCCATTGCGCTCGTGTCCTTCAACACTGCAGCAGTTCAAAATGCAAATGCTAAGTTCCACGCAACATTCGCACTGCTTCCAAGTTCCAACAGGCATAGAGCTGCACGAGTAGCCTGTGTTCAGCCCTTTGTTCCTAGTGGTCTGACACCTTGCTTTTTGCTCCAGCCGTGTGCGCAAAGCGAGACGCCGTGAGACACCCCCAGTGGGCCATTTCGAAGCAACTTCCTTCGGGCAAGTCCCATGGGGGCTTTTGGGCCTCTCAGACTAATTGCTCGGGCGCACTGGGCTGGATAATCACCTTGATGGGCTCACCAGAGGCGAAGTGTTCAAAAGCGGCCTGTGCCTCTTCGAGCTGGAAAGTCTTGGAAATCAGTGGCTTCAGGTTGATCTTCCCACTGGAGACCAAGGCCAGTGCTCGGGGATACAGGTTGCAATATCGATAAACACCAATGATGTCCACTTCATGCCTCACCGCCACTTGCAAATCGAGCGGAATGCTTTGTGGCAGGTTCGCCACAACGCACACGACACCACCGGGCATCGTTGCTTGTATGCAGCTGTTGAGGGCCGCGGGCACCCCACAACACTCAAAGCTCATGTCAAACTTCTCCCCAATGCAGCTCTCCAGCGCAGAGAGCAAATCGGGCATGTCGGCTTTGAGTGTGTAATCTGCACCTCGGCTACAGCCAGGCTACGCAAAAGGCTTCTCAGCCGCTACTCCAGGCTTCTCTCGGGTTTGGGGTGCGGGAGAACAACACGAGGAGCAACATGCCGAGCAGCCAATTTCTTTGGCCTTCTCCAACTTGGCATCTACCATGTCAGTAATCGTTACAGTAGCAGCTCCAGCCGCTTTGGCACACATGGCCGTCATGAGGCCAATGGGGCCAGCACCACTCACAAAAACATGGTGGCCCACGCCCACCTGAACACAGCAAATTTGTCCCCAAAAGAAGTCCACAAATGAGAAAAAGACACATCTGGAGTCTGGAGAAGACAAGGAATTTGTCGAGACAAAGTTCAAAGAAGGAGACATGGTACGAGTACACAGAGGGTACAGCACGACAAAATGAACATGCTCTTTCACACAGCTCGCTGCCTGCCTTGGCTCGGGTGACGGCTTGCAAAGAAACGCAAAGGGGTTCTAACCTAAGACAATCTGGCCCCAACCAAGCTGGATGGGGTGGTGTAAATGTGACTCTTGCACGCTTGTCGCTCTAAGAATCCAGCATTGCTCCTTCCTGAAGGCTGACACTTGGCGGAAGCTTGTAGCAATAGGAGGCCTTGTGGTTGAACTTCCGGCACAGCGCACCAGGAACGCGATTCACCGCTGATCCAATAAAGCGCATCTTGGGACAAAGGTTGTATCTGCCGGACCTGCAAAGCTTGCAGTCGGAGCCTTGGACTTGGCTCAGGTTCCAAAAGACTGCTTGTGCCACTCATCTCTGAGCTCTTTCCAAGCATCATCAAACATCAGAAGAACCACCAAAAGCAACGCCAAGAAGCAAATCAGCCAAACCCCGTGGACCGTCGGTCGACCTCTCAAAGCCTTAACGTCTGTTACCTTCGTCTGTTGCCTTCGTCTTGTTCCTCTGTCTTAGCGAGGCGAGCAACAAGGGACGCCAGGCTCCAATGCTACACGGTCACCCACCTGAAGATGAGTGACCTTGGCCCCCACCGATCGCACGGTACCCGAGCACTCGTGCCCCATCTGACCACAGTAGCCCTGGTTGAGGCCCTCCTCTGAGAAGTCCAGCTGCACAAAGCCCCCAGCCACACCCTTCGACCAGTAGGCCATATCGGAGCCGCAAATGCCGACCTGGCATGGAAGCATCCATGCCCACCCAATAAAGGGAGGCATGAATGCAGTGAAATACCGGACGAGGGAACACACATGTATTGAGCCACATACATATGTATACACACACACACAAGATCATCAACATAGCCTGTTTTCGTCGTATGTGCTAGATTCAAGCGATATCGGTGTATCTTATCTTGTATCTTCGAAGGGGTCCCAACACCTTGGCTAGAAATCAATTGCTGTTTGTATATGAAGATTCCTGATTATATACTTCCACCAAAGCTCCCTGCGTTGGGGGGCAGAAATGATGCCAAGGCACGCAGTTGATCTGCAGTTGCACTTCATCTTCCTTGGGCGCAGTGATGCGCCGCTTTCGAAGGCGCAAGCTCCGAAGACCTTCCAGCACCGCCACGTCCATGGCCTCGCTGGCCGCACAACTTGGTGCTTTGCGCCACACCCGTTTTTGGGGCGTCTGCGGCCTTTGGGGCGGGTTTCATTATAGACCCCAACTAACCTCACATCAGTGGAGAAAAGTGCCAAGGTTGTTTGCTTTTTCTTCCAAATCTTCTTCGCCTGCCTCATCAGGCATATCATAGCCCGCCATGGCCAGATTCCGCCCTGCTACTGGCTTTGCCTGCTAATCTGCGAAAGAATGCCCGCAGAATGGTCCTGCATGTCTGTGCATATATCTGGATCAACACCCTTGAGGACGTGGCCGGCACCTTCCGGTCAACACCGGAGACTTCGAACAAGGCTGTGTGCGGCCTTGTCCCACACCTGGAACTTTCTCACTTAGGAGGTCTCTGTTCGTTCCAAACTCGTCCAGGCACATTGACCTGCGCTAGGAAAAGCCCATGCAAACAGCATGTGGCAGTCTTCTGGGAAGACCATTCGGAACCAACAGCATTCCATTGGACAACGTTGACTTGCAAACAAACATTCATTGACTTTCATGCATGATGCAACCCAGCCCTTGGCGAGTCAGCTCTGCTGACATTCCCCACCATCAGGTGCATTTTGAATGCTCTGCTGGATGCTCTCTTTTGTGCACAAATTATATAGTTGTCACTGTCACTGTCTAGATTACTACAGTATGTAGTTGAGGGGGTTCGATTTTGCGGATGCTGTGTGAATAGCAGAACCACCTGATCGTGAATGATTGCGGGCCTGCCCTATGCCCTATGCCATATTTGGTCTACCTGATCACTTGATTTGATTTGCTCTGGAAACAAATGGCCACTTCGACAAAACCACACGAGCATCATCACGATTTTGCGGCTTCTTTCCTGCACGATGGACGTGCAACCAACAATGAAACAGCGCATTGAACGGTGTGAAAGCAGCTTCCACCAGAGAGGTCAAGTCCTGATTAATCAATTGACTAGGTACCTGAACATCACCTTCTGTTCCTGGGTTGCATCCAAAACCTCCATTTGTCTCGGCATAACCATGCAACCTATCGACACCTACCCCAGGCGCACTTTCGGCTGAAGACAGTGAACTGCGTGTGCGCTCCTTGAGGCATTCCGGGAAGACCCACCCTTTCTTCGCTGGTTGAAGTGCCACAGCCCAGCTGCTAAAACAGCCATGTGATTAGAATGCTTCCTACATATGTAAAATCCAATTTGTAAAGCTAAGCAGCGTTTAGATCTACAAGCTCTGGACTGCAACATTGATTGATAGTTACTCACAGCTGAGGAGAAAGTGATTGAATGGTGCATCAGTGTGAACTGCACAAGAGAGATCAAAGAGGTCGTCCTGGGCCGGGGTTGAACCACGGATCGAACTTTGGATGTCCTGATGTCAGCCACTCACGGAGGACCAGCACAAGCCAGAACTTGCAGACGAAGCACGGAAAGAGTTTCTCTGCGGTTTCACCTCATCCTTGGCTCAAGCAGGAATGATTAAGATCAGCTTTCCGATTTCTGTCCGGAAAAACAAGGGCATCGATGTAGACGTCCTAACATTAGCTGCAGGCTGGAGGCATGTGACAGCGCAGGCTCCCAAATGGCTTTTCCGAATGAATATTTTGGCCGCAAGTCCTGCCACAACTCTGCGAAAACAATCTATCCCAAACTCCAAATCAGCTGTCTGAGTTTGACCCCAAGCAATTTTTTTTGATCCCGGACCGGCATGTTTCCAGGCGTCAATTTCCAAACCCATGGAAAGCTGCTCCTCTATGCACTTTTTTGCATCAAACTCATTCTCATCGGGGTTGACAAAGCTCCGCTCTGTCGCATGAGCCCCTGGACCAGGCACCCAAACCTTGTCCTAGGCGGCTAGGTGGCCACTGAAACAGAAGGAAACAAAATAAACAACGAACTGCTGGGTCGCTGCAACCCTTCCCCAAGGGGAAGATCCTTTCTTGCAAACCCACTCACTCGGCCAATCTTCAAACTTTCCCACACTATACAGTATATAGACCTGCGTACAGCATCACAAATGAGTGAGACTTCTATTATTCTATTTGCTCCTTCTTTCTTGCACAAAGCCTGAACTTTCTACACCCATGATGCTCTTAGGCGAGGCAACCAGCTCGGATTGGTGGGATGCTGCTTCGTTAATGTTAATGAAGGACAGCGCGGGCAACCCGGCCTGCTATTTCGCGACCAGCCGGCCGGCCGGCCGGCCAAGTAGTAGTAGTCGTCGTCGTCGTAGTAGTAGTAGCGATTTCTTCCGCGGCCGGCCGGCCGGCTGGCACCTTGATCGGCCGGCCGGCCGGCTGGCACCTGGAGCGGCCGGCCGGCCGGCGGGCCATGTACTAGTAGCAGTAGTAGTAGTAGTCGTCGTCGTCGTCGTCGTCGTTGATCAGCCGGCCGGCTGGGCTGTGGATCTTGGCCGGCCGGCCGGCCAGCCAGCTGGACCGTGGTTCTTGGCCGGCTGGCTGGCTGATCGAGAAATAGCGGGCCGCGATAAGCTCGCAATGTAATGAAGTGTTGTTGCAGTGGCATGCATTAAGACGAGTTGAGGCTTGTGGGCAATATATCGGGGAATTGTTCGTCAATGCAATCCAAACCCGAATGCGTCAAAACGAGTCACAACATGGAAAAGGACAAGGGAAGGACGTGAATGAAGGACAGATCAAAAGGTTAACCGCTGTTAACCCTGCGTTGGTGTCTTTGCTGTCTGGCGTCTGGTGACCTTGTCACTGTCAAAACTGATCTCATGAGTCAAATGTTGCATCTGTGTAACAGTTGATTGGGGTGTTTGTGAAGCACTCCCGATGGTGTTGGAATAAGGTGCCACTATATACAGTAAGCTTCAACACTGCCCATGCATCCAAAGCATACCAAAACAGTGACCTTGTTTTCTGCTCACAGTTCTGCTGCTCACAGAAGTGGTCACAACACGCAGCTTGCTGCAGCTAAGACTCCTTCACCACTTTGTCCACCCAGGTCCTTCGATCTCCATCAGACACCAGGCCTGCCAAGTCAATACTGATTCACTGATACCATTGGCCATGGCCCGCCGGAATGCAAAATTACCAAAGTGAGAAGAAAAAAAATGGACAACGGAACCATCATGTCATGAAAAGACGACGTTTAGTTCCTGCATGGAGGGAACTTAAAGGAACAAAAACACTGATACATGGTTCAGTGATAAACCACATCGTCATGTCCTCAAGGTCCTTAAGAAAGCGCACCTGCTTTGCCGATGCTGTAGCGTGGCCCGGTGCGCGCCACTGGGTGGACCTCCCAGCCTGTGACGACTCCGTCAGCGAAGGGAGTCGCGTCGGGCGGACCCTGGGTGGATCCGGCCTCTGGAAAAACCCTCTGGGTCCGTTCGGAGGGTCAGACTCACTTTCCTCCGGGTCCTTGGGAAGAAAGGTTTGAAACAGAAGAGAGCTGAGTGAAAGAAGCGAGAGAGATCTGGGGGTCCACACTGTCCCAAGCTTGAGCTTGAGCTAGTACGACGCATACCCGCAAGATCCTAGCAAGACAATCATCCAACGGCCATAGGGGAGGGACAACAAAAGCAAGATCAAGCAAGCATCTGCCTTCACGATGATCTCCAACGGTTTGGTCTGAGCCCCAAAAAAACGGACTGCCGAGCAAATGAGTGTCAAGCACCCCACGAGGAGCGAGGTCTAAATGGTGGATCCTCTGTCCAACTCCATCCGACAAAGACACCACGCACGTGGGCTGGTCAGGCCCCCCCCCAATCGTATTTGATAGCTTTCCAAGGCTTGGACCTGTACGGTGCGAATTCAAAGACTGCAGCGCAGTCGTTTAAGCTGGCATAGCTGGCGACTAGGGCTTCGATTGTATGCAAAATCTCACTTAGCTTGTTCGGCTGAGTGGTTGCAACAGTGGGGGCTGGTCACCAGCTGACAGCTCATGAAAATTGCAGCACTGGCTAGCTTGCGTCACACCAAGCGCAGCCAGCGTGAATGGCGCCAGCTGAGGCTCAGCTCCGAAGTGGGCATCTTTGCCTCAGCCTTTGCCGCCACAATTTCCGTGGCCTGTACTCGCAAAAAGGGACAGGAAGACGTCCTGGACCCAAAACTTGGAGCTCGTCGCGCCTCAAAATCAACGAGGCGTCTTAGCTGGAGCTCTACTGTCAACGTAGTAGCTCTATGGACTCTGTACTTGCTTGAGTTGGAGGCTCACTTCTTCTCCTTCTCGTCAGGTTTCTCCTGCTTTGAGGTCTGTCTTGTCAGCTCCCTTTTTTGTAGGACAGCCTCCCAAATGCCAAACAGAAACGGATTATATATATAATCCTTTTTCGCGTCTGGGGAAGGAGAGCTGAGGAAACCAAAGACCTGTCCTGCGACTCACTTGACTGCTCGCTGGATGCACCTTGCCTGGGCAGTGCATCGACCAGTCTGGCTTTTGGTCAGCACTCACCACCTAAACGATTCCTGTTGCTCCCAGGGCAGTGGCTGATACGCTTGCTGGGTGATCTTCCAGGACTTCTCCTGCAGGTCCTGGAACAATATCAGTCAGCACACGTCTGGTTCCTAACCCACTTGTTCTGCCACTGCTCTGGATATTGCCGTACTGACGGGACATCGCCATGCAATTTGTCAAACGCCCGGGCAAACGTGACTCCCTTTCCTGAATCCTGATGATGATTCAAAATATTACCCGTTGTGCACATTTCACTCGACCGTGAGGTCCTAACCCAAATCGAGACTCGTCAAAGGCCCTGCCTTGGTCTTTTGCTTGAGTTCATCAAGGTCCGCATCCTCGTTTGCCACGCATGTTCGCAAATCCTGGCGAGGGTCTGATCCTTTGCAAACATGGTGGCACAAACGCCGAGATCTCCCTCGGGAGCTGCGCGGATGATGCAAGAATGCAGGGAGCTGTGTCGCATCCTCCATGAGTTTCTTCAGCTCATCAGCATCTGCTGTGCTCATCCTCAGGTCGCAATAATGGCTCATGAGGCTGCTCCACTCAGATTACCATAGATTATCACCACCTGGTGGATTGGCACTGTTTGGCCATGTTGGACTCAGAAATTATGTGTGACTCCACGCAGCTGCATAATTAAGCTGCAAGAAATCATCTACAATTTTGCTCATCTGAGGATCTTGTCTTTCAGCTCTGTCAGCTGCTTTTCAGCCTGGGAGCGTCAGCATCCATTATAAGCTAGGCCTGCGTGTGTCACAGCCCCACCTGATATGCCAAGGTTTCAGCCTCGTTCTTGGCTTGCACAGTGTCCTGCATTGGTGGGGAACCAATGGTATATTTCAGAACGTCTTCAAACTCCAGGTGTGCCAAAGAAATTGCAAGTGGATGTCACTGGTGTGTGTGGGGTGCCGAAGACACCGGCACCAACTGTCCTTCTTTCTCTGGTCAGCCTCTCTCATCCGTTCAGCTTCCTGGACCATTTTGTCCACCTGGAACGCTGGAACGCGAATACCCCCAAAAGATTACACCAGCATAGACCCAAATAGCTAGGCAGAATCCCACGACCTGTTGACATGCGACTGGCTGGAACAAGAATGTCGCAACCAGCTTACGGCACCTCCACAGCGCGCACAACCAGCTGACACCAGCACCGGTGCGCTTTGCCAGCTGACAACACCGGCAGCGGCACCAGCACCCGACCAGCGCCGCCGCCCGTCTCAAACGCGCGCTCTGCCAGCTCACAGCACCAGCACCCAGGACCACAACACCGGCACCAGCACCGACACCATTTCCGAAAGCACGCGCCGCCAGCTCATTATTGTTACTATTTGCAGTCAGAACCCCATAGCTATCCCTACCTGGGGAGTAACAACGAACGATCTTGTGCTTATAAGTTTATGCGCACAAAAGTATGAGTGCAAACAGCAAAGCCCGTAAGTGTCATTGGCCCAAGGCCACGCGGTATCCAAAGCGCCACTATTGACTTTGTAGCATGCTTGAAACAACGATCTGTAGAACGATAAGGCCGCATGATCTTGCGCGTAAAAGTTTACGCGCACAAAAGTATGCGCACAAACGGCAAAGCCCGTAGGCTTCACTTGCCCAAGGCCAAGCAGTATCCAGCACGACTATTATGTGTGTGTAGCATGCTGAAGCACGCTGAAACAATGGTCGGTTGAGAGCCTGACGTTGCGCAAAGAACATTATAAAGTATGCGCGCAAACAGCACAGCCCTTGACACAGCTGTCGGCCAAAGCAGAACCTGAAGAGTGTAAGTACCCCACGGTGCCAATAGACAAAGAACGCTCAAGCGACAACACCGTACGATGTTGCGTGCATAAGTTCATGCGGCTCATGACTGCTGGCACTTCACTGTCAGAAGCGGCGGTTGGCCGCCCTTCACTGCTACAAGCGGCGCTTCACTGTCAGAAGCGGCGGCTGCTATCACTTCACTGTCAGAAGCGGAGCACCCAGCACCGGTACCCAGAGCACCCGACACCCTGTCTGCACCATGTGCACAGCCAGAACCCAGCACCGGCACCCTGTCTCCACCACGCGCACAGCCAGCACCCAGCACCGGCACCGGCACCCTGTCTCCACCACGTGCACAGCCAGCTCACAGCACCAGCACCTGCACCGGGCACCCTGTCTCCATCACACAGCCAGCACCCAGCACCGGCACCCTGTCTCCACCACGCGCACAGCCACGCACAGCCAGCACCCAGCACCAGCACCGGCACCCTGTCCCCACCACGTGCACAGCCAGCTCACAGCACCAGCATCAGCACCGCACCGGCAACCTGTCTCGAAAGCGCGCACGGGCAGCTCATTGTTATTTGAAGTAAGAACCCCATAGCTTCGCTATCTGGGGAAAAAGCACTGGCTGGACAGAATCCCACTGCCTCTGCATCAGAGAGGCCGCCACTGGAACGAATAGTAATGGCCTGCGAGGCAAGAAAACCAGAACGATACAAGCCTTTAATCAATCGGAGACGGAGGGAAAGCCACAAAGGCAGCAAATCAAAGCACGGCAACCCATGGAACCCTATTAGGTTGGAGGCCATTGCTATTAAGTTGGAGGCCGTCGCTATTGGGGTGGAGGCCATTGCTCTTAGGTTGGAGGCCATAGCTAGTAGATATGAATTCATCTCTTATGTTTATCTTTTTTGTCCAGTGCATCACTTCTCCTGCTTCTTGCCAGTTCCCTTGTCACTGGCGCTAACGTTGACGATGCCGTTGGCATCGATATCGAATGCCACCTCAAGTTCCCGCACGAAGGCAAGTTTCAGTCGCGAAGGTGGTACAGTTACAGTCCATACACTTTTTCTCACTTTGTGTGCTACTTTTTCAGTCGCAGGTGCCTCGATTTGTGGTACACCTCTGGGAGCGGGCGGAATGCCAACCAAATCAAACCTCAGGCTAAAAGGCAACTATTTAGGCCAGAGTCAACTCAAAAACCTACCAATGATGCCAATCAAACTTGATCGGATAGCTGCGAGATGCTGTGGCTCCTGCTGCCCAAGCATCTGATTGTCTGCTGCCATCTCACGCTCACCCTGGAATACCTTGATGCCCACCTGCACAACATGGAGTCCAATTCGAGCAAGATGCAGCAACGCACCACCAAACTAGTTCAACCTGTGTTTGATTGTCAGCAGCCGTGGAGAAGACTTGAGACTTCTTGGTGGGAATGGTCCTCAGTTGGCCCAGTCGGGCAAGAAAACCAACAGCTCAACCTGACTTGCCGGATGAGACCCGGGCGTATTTCGGTTGATGAGACGCGTGAACACGCCGCCCAAGGTCTCGATACCCAGCGACAAAGGTGTGACATCCTTGGCATCACAAGCCAAGCTTTGCTTGGAGCCTTTCTGAGCACATCCCGAGGCGGTGTCTAGCAGCAAAACATCCTTGACATCTCCCTTCAGCACGCCGCCCTGAGGATTGCGGTAGAAAGACCAAGCGAACATGTTGGCAAGGCACTACGTGCCTGAATCGCAGCTCCCATGGCCACAGCTTCATCTGGATTGACCGCCTTCGATGGGTCCTTGCCTTGTGGCGAGCTGGTTCGCTGGTTCACAACGCGGATGGGCGACTTTTAGTTTCGACATCATTCCTGGAAGCATGGGAGAGACCCCCTAAATCCCCCGAACAATTCGATCCACGAGGTTGGAATTTGCAGATTTTCCAAAGTCATAGAAATTGCTATTTGACGAATCGATGTTGATATGGGGGGGTACCGTATAGATAGACGGAAATTCCCATGAAATTCCCCATGTTGCAGTGATTGTCTAACTCGGGTTTGAAATGGTTTGAATAAGTATATCATTTTGTGAGGAGCACGTGCCGTGATTTCTGCCCCCCCGTTTGGCCACATCCTCAGCTCCGGGCCATAGATCGATCGGACGAGTTCGGTGACCTGGGGGTCAAGAAGCACAGGGACCATGCAGTTAGAACTGGAAAAAAAAAAAGAAAACTGCTTTGGATCTCCTTTGCCCATGGGAACCCCCCACATGATCATATCATTGATTATCTAAAGTCCTCGCTGACATGCTGAAGAAATGTCGATCCCCCAGGCCCTATGCTGATGCACTCGTCTAAGGCTCAGGTAGGCTGGCCTTGGGCATGCGTGTCATGCCACCCACCAAAAGGATTTCACCAATCCTCAGAGACCGGACTCAAGTGGAGTCAGAAATACGCCGCAGTGGAGTCATCAGCGCTCAGCTCTGTACTCGTTGGGCTTCACCCCGGCATCCTGGAGATCTTCGCTGCTTCACTCGTTTTCTCCCAAGTTGCCAAAGGCATGATGGAGGACAATTGGCCCCAAATCGGCGAACATCCCAGGTGTTCACCCAAGTTAACCCAAAGCATTCACCCCAGCCTTGGTGCAGGCCTCACAGGGTGCCTTGGTCCGACTCAGCAGCGGATCCACCAGCTGCTCCAGCTTGGACCTCCCGATGGTCAGAGGCCAAGCTCCAAGCCCATCGGCCATGAAATGCCAGGAACCTGCACTGGTCCGGTCCTGGTCATCTGGATGTTCAAGTGCTTGGGGCCGGTCTGGTCCGCTGTGATGAAGGGCAAGTTCACGTCGGTCCTGGACCAAGGCTCCCACCACATACTGTAGCTACAGCAATGAAGTCTTATGGAAGCTTTCTAGGCCCTCTGCTGAACTTTGCTGGAAAGTTCAATCTTTGCCTCAGAGCTTTGCGCAAGGCGCAATGTGCACACGGTGGCGAGCGCTTGTGTTTGCAGTTGTGCACTTTTGGGTTCCGATCCCAAGAAGCTAGAAGCTACTAGAGACAAGTGCATCGCTACGAACGTAGCAAGAAGCTACTAGTAACTAGTAGTCATGCTCTTGCTACGAGTTACGATGCTAGCAGCTTCTTGTTTTGTGGGACCTGGTGTGGCGCTGCGCTTGACTGCTCTGCGCACACATGACCTGAAATGAAATGAAAAAAAGAACTGCTGGTCCCTTTTCCTTTGTCCTCCCAATGCAGCATTTGCTGCGCACCCACCACCCGCAGTAAGAACCCTTTGGTGCCCCGTGTTTCTCTATCTGCACGACGCTCTGTCAACACTCCTACGCTCACCCAGGTGATGCGTCGATCTGAGGTTCCAACTGTTTCAGCTGCCTCTCGGAGCCGCTGCAATGCCTTTGAGTTCATCACACTCCCACCCAAGTCAGCCGTATCCAGTGGAGTGAAATGAAGGTGTTTGGGGACGCCACATCTCCCACCCAATCTCTGACACCAAAACCTTCAGGTTCACCCCGATCCAGGTCCATCCAGTCAGCTGGGCTCCAAACCAATTTGTCCTTGGAAAGGTCCTTGGTCAGCGCCCCAGCGTACGCGGCGTTTCTCACCGTCGCACCCTCTCCCCTACGACCTTCCAACGGACAGATCAAAAGGAGGAACAAAAAAAACATCAGACGCTCCAGACTCTGCGGTCCTCTGCGGTGCTTTTCGTCACCTTTTGCGTGCGAGCCGGCCACGTTTTCGGCGCTGTACAAAGCACCAGGTCCGCCGTGAAACTCCGCCGTCACCTCCGAAAGCTGAACCTTGGGGCGGGTGCTTGGCTTAGGCAGTAAGCCTAAGCCAAGAAGTCAGGTCATGAATGACTTGATATTGAATAGCTTTTGCCACAACCACCCAAATGAGCAACTTCCAGGAACCCGTCCAGCAATGAAAGTGGCCTCTCAGAGCCGTTCATGGATTGGCATCGACAGTGTTGCCCCGCATGCGGCATCTATTCTCAAGCAAAGCTGCTGATAGTAAGGACCCTTCAGCTTGGCACCATATCGCCGCAGCACCGATTCAATCTCCTGGACGCTCACCATCCAAATCAAAACTGGTTGCCCGAAATGAACCTGAGAGCACCATGGTACCCACACACATCTTTCCTTCGCTCCGAAGTATCCTTGGCTGCAGCAGATCAGACTGCAGCATGTATCTTGATACATCGTGCGGCACTATGAGCTGCAACACACATTGCCACACGCCAATGCCAATGTGTTTAATATCAAGATCTTGTCTTCTCTTCACGAGCAGGTCGCAGCCAAGCAACTGGCATGTGCCAAAGGCGAATCACCCTCGCTGTCTCCAGCATTGACATCGGCCTACGCACAGCTGTTGTTGACAAACCTGTCTCTTGACATCTGTCGCTGTGGTTCCACCCCTTCCTCTTTCTATTTAACCAAGCCCATCAAACCACACCATGCCCATCGTCAAACTCCGTCACCCATCGGACCCCGCACCCGCAAACGGCACAGGAGAGTCACCACAGCGCTCGCACCCGGCTGTGAAAACTGCGCGCAACAGGCATGCAGCGGAGTGCCACCTCAAACAATCGGAAGAGAAAAAGGCCGCACTGCATGTTTCAAACACCTTCCTTGTTAGCCTAAGGCACAGGATTCCTGGGACCTTGGTTGAGCCCAAGTACTGGTTACTAGCGGCTACTTGCTGTCTTGTTTAACATGTCTGGTACCATGTAAAACGTACTTGTGGACACCATGGAAACCACACGCCAAGGCACCTGAGGTGTCCCTCACACCATCGCCTCGCCGCAACCAGGTGTTCACATCCTTAGGAGAAAAAAGAAACACGCCTCGCACAGTGCACCTAATACCTCAAAGCTGACACGTAGAAAAATTAGAAAGCTACCAAGGGCTGGAGGGTATCGCGGGATCTGAGTCAATTGTCATTATCGGGGCTTAGCGGATGGAGCGCATGGAGCGGGTGGAGCGGGTGGAGCGGATTGTCTCATGGAGCGGAAGACGCTGATCCCTCTGGCAATGATCCCCCTATAGTACAGCCAAGGGGCTGCACCTTGCGCCAAACACCACACTGCACCAGAGAGACTCTGCGATGCAAATGCTCGCCGAAGACTGCCGAACGCCTCGACCACAAGTTTGTTGTGGCGTTCGTGAAGCACGTCATTGTCACTTTTTGTCTCAAACAAGGTTGCGGATACATGACTCCGTATCTGGATGAATCAGGCACCATCCTGAAGCATGTCCTCAAGCTTGTTGTTCTGCTTAATGTAAGAAACAACACGGCAAAACAGCCCGCACCATCTGTTTCTCGGCAATATCTTCTCTGAAGCCTGCGGAAGCAGGCAGAAACAAGCCAATTCAATGGGCAGAGGAGCTGCTGGCTCAGCAATGGGTACCAACTGCTTGCAACCTGATCATGCAACATGCACCCCAGCGCGGCTTAGTATGGCTTTGTGCCAGAGGGCATCGTAGCAGAAAAGGTCTATGCCTGTCTACGCTTCTTCTGCATTCATCGATTGTCATCTATCCCACGACCTTGAAAGTTTTGAATCAAATTCTGTTCAGCACTGCCTGCAGCAAGGAGCATCTCTTGCGCCTTTGTGTCCTTCAAAGCTACTGCCACCGAGAGTGGCGTGGGCACTTTTGAGTCCTCGCGCACGCGCACGGCCGACACGGTGAAGGAACATCAGACCGTCAAATCGGAGCGTCACGCATTGGTCGAATGGCCTTGATATATGTCTTGTGTGGGCAGTGTTTGAACGCCGACACCTGCTCCAGCAGATTTCCAAGGGGAGTTTGGGCTCAGTTGGGAAATGCTTTTAGTAAATAAACAGACCGATTGACATAATGCATCATGGATATTATAGTGGCCCCCGAATAGATAGAAGCAATTTCCAATAGATAGATAGATAGATAGATAAATAGATAGATAGATAGATAGATAGGTAGATAGATAGATAGATCGTGGTTTTTACATTGTTTTTCTTTTCTATCTATTTGGGGGTCTACATACTAGTGCCTGAAAGCATCAGCACCCCCAAACCTCAACTGAGCCCCAAGAAGGAACAGTGTCCTGGCTCGAGGTGGCTCCTTCAGCTAAGACTTCAGAGATGTCTTTGTAATCACCTTGGCCGCCAAAGCCACAAACAGGTGCCGCAAGTGACCGCACGAACGCTTTCCGGCCATCTGCTTCGGCATCCCAAGGACACATTCCCAGGCCTGCAGCCACTGCGTTGAGAAGCCTCAAAAATGGTGGCCACGCCCAGGTGAGGACATATATAAGTCCTCCTCAAGAGTTGATCGAAACTCTCCAAGCCCAAGCTTGCCAAGCAGCCTTCTATCTAAGGACTCCTGGATTTCCTCTGGGAGTTGGCTACCTTCGCAAATCCCGAACACACCGAAAACCTCGTCGTCAAACCCACCAAAGGCTTCAAGCACCTCTTAAGTACCAAAGAACGTGCATGATGCTTTGTCAATGTTAGTTCCTGCTGCAATTGTCCAATCCAATTTGAGTCAAGCGTCGCAAAAAAGCTACCTCCTTGGGAGCGCGAAACGAGTGGCGGGAGATCGACTCACTCAGTGTAAGTGCCAGAAATGAGGGAAGAACGAAACACAATCCTATTTGTTTCTAGTAGCTTCTTGTTACTACTAGTAATAAGGCGCCTGTTACTAGAAGCGATGCACTTGTTACTAGTAGCTTCTTGTTACTAAACACAATCCTAAGCCAAAATCCATTCCAATTCCGCACCGTCCACAGCACAAAGATTGGAGTAGACTCATTGACGCCTTTACCCGCTCCAAGCTGCCAGATCTCCACCTTGAGGCATCCGGAGCACTCGACCTAAAGCTCCCTCGAGGCGCACCACTTCCTGCGACTCGAGTCGCGGTCACGCCCTCATCCCGGAAAACCACGACATGCCCTTCATGCAGCCGTGGCACATCGTTTAGGACAAAGCGCCTGGGCTTTGTGGGGCCGAAAGAGAAACAGTCGGAGCAAACCATCCGCCGCGGCACATCGGAGCGACCGGACTCCGGTCCTTTCGAAGAGTGTCGAGCGGAGATGGGAACCATCCCCAGCGACGGCCGTCATTCCCCCACCCACTTCATGTCTACTTCACAATGCAGCCCTTTCCTAGCAAATGTGCGAGACATGACTATATAGTTCCCCGTCAATAAACAGAGCAACCCACATGGATACGTCGAGGTTGACTTCCTCCACCATGCTGTTGCCATGCTCGTTTCAGGAAGCGTCGCAGCCAGCTCAGCCAAGCCACTGTGCCAAGAGCGGGATCTTCCACTCTCTATGCACTGCTTCCTGTAGCTCCCGTGCTGGAGCGGTTGAAGGGAATGTCAGCTGCAGCCTCGATAGCCCCCGTCCACTTCGTTCCAGAAACGAAGGAAGTGAAGGAAGAAACATAGTAGGTGCCGGGTCCCTTTCCAGTCTCGAGGAGGCTGTTAGCTTCTGTGGGGCATTTGGCAGCTCCCAACCAATAGACAAAGCGCGCGTGCTAGTTTCATGATAGTTCACATATGTTCGCTTTGCTCAATGCCGAGGAGCTCCTCACCTGCCAAGTTTCGCACCTTCAAGCGGACATCACCATCAAGCAGCCCTCAGTTTGGGAGTGTGCTTTGGTAGGGCATCAGGAGAAACAAACACTAAGTAACTAAGGGTAGAACGGTCTTCCTGCAAGCGTCATGGGGGGGGAAGCTCAACTAACTGTTCAACCACGGACTTTCTGACCAACCCGTCCAAGTCTGTGGACCCTCCGTCCTCCGAAGAGCGGAGCCGATGTCGCCCAGGGCAGCAGCCCATGGCGTGACTCACCAACGAATGTGGCCTCTGGCAGTGGTGATGCTTCTTGGTTTCCATGTGCTGAGACCAAACGGGCGTTGGAATGAAAGTGAATGAAGTGTCAGTGTGTGGGCAGTGAAGTCTTCGAAATCCATGTGCCTTCCATGGAGACAACTTCAGATTTCAGCCTTCTCTGAGGTGTTTAGGCAGAAAACTGGCCCGTCTTTGCGGGCCACTTGGCCGGCCAAACAGGCAGTCCCAAACGCGGCAGTTCCACACGTAGCAACTCCATTTAACAAACAGTTTCAGCCATTTGACAAAAAGACTCAGGGCAGGACAATGCCCTGCGACTTTTTGAATTCCTGGCAGGAAGGTTGGATGAAAGAGGACCTCCTCCAACACCTCTACTGCAAGCCTCTACGGCAAGTCATATGGTCATTCTCAACTTCTGGCACACGTTGAGTCTTGCGTTTCAGCTCTATGCGGCCCGGAGATCAAGATAATGGAGATATCCTGGTCAATTCCATACCTTACCTGCTCTGTAGCCAACCTCCACCAGGTACTGCAGGATCGCATGATCAAAGTCTTCTCCGCCCAAAGAGGTATCTCCATTCGTCGCCTTGACCTGCATTTGCCGCACAGCAACGAGGGACTGGGCGGACTGGGCACCGCGTACCGGCCCCGAGGTCTTCGGGCCACGTCTCGAATGATCCGAAGGGTTTGACACAGTAACAAGTGCATCGCTACTAGTAACAGGTGCCTTACTAGTAGTAACAAGGACGCTACTAGAAACAAGTGCCTTGCTACTAGTAACAATAAGAATGTAATTACAGTAGAATTATAAATTTAAAGGTTGGCTTTCCATGTTCTTGTTGTATCTTCTTCCCATGCCATCGTTTGCTTGCCGCTTTGGCGGGGTGTTTCCGGCCAGCATGCTTGCTTCATGTTCATTTGATTCCTCGGACCGGCATTTTTTCCGCAGACTTTGTGCTAGAAAGCTTGAGACGGCTAGAAGTCCTGCACAAGCGGCGGGAATGGGCAAGTACAGTATATACTTCAACCACGACTTCTTCAAAGCTTCGATGGCTCTCCTCGTCACTAAGGGGATCGCCATCCAACTCAGCATCTGGTTCTGGGCTGCGCTCCTTGAGCTGCTCCTATCCAAAGGCACCCCACACAAGGCCATTGGGGAGTAACAAGCTTGTTCACCGAACCTCAAAATACTTCAAGCCAGTGAGCCCAACCAAATTCCACCCGTGCCTTCGGCGCCTTCGGCGCCTTCGGCCGGCTTGGCCTGCAGGTCGTGATGGTCGAACCAAGGCGTTGACGGCTGCTCTAAGGTTCCGAACCCTACGGCGGCTGGCACGGCGGCTGCCGCCCGAGACCTGTGAACTCAGCGGAGTCCGTAGGACCAAAATCAGCCCCGCAAATGGGCGGGCCAAAAAGAACGTGCTGGTTAGCATCGGGCCATCTTGATATGACCCCCACCTGGCCGACAGGAAGGCTGCAGCACTGGCAGCTGCAGCCGCCGCAGCTGCTGCGGCGGCAGCTGTTGCGGCAGTCTGAACACATCGGGTCCATCTACGGTTGCAACAACAGGACGTTCAGAATCGATGGAAGCACGGGTCTGAGCGAAAGGCAGTCGCGTTGGAGGGCTCTGGTGCATCACGTCTGCGCCTTCGTCGCGATCTGCCTTCCACCACGCACGGTGCAAATTTGTGTGTGGGTGAGTTCAACAGAGTTCAACGCGCGGCCTCTGCCATTGCGGCTGCGGCTCCGGCTCCCGCTTCGCCTGCCCAGGAGGACTTCTTCGCGCAACAGAATGCCATTTGAAACGACATGACATGACAATGGGGCCGCTGTCTGCACCTACTTCGTCCTGTCCGGCGACCTCGACTTGGAGAAGCCTGCCGGCACTTGTCGATACATGTGCATTTAGCAACTTGCGCAGTCCACAAGGCCCTTGGACAGCCCATGTAAAGAAAGAATTAAAATCAAAAATGCAGAAAAAAGGGGGAAGTCCACAAGGCCTTTGTTTGATCTCTTGAAGATTCAAAGCCCCGTCCAGGTCGTCGAGAAGGCATTTCATCTGGCATCGTGGCACGCCAAGCAAGCACCTCATTCCCTCCATATGTCCATAATATGCTGTTCCTCCTTCCTTCCTTCCTTCCTTCCTTCCTGATGGCCCCAATCCCCAAAGGTCTCACCATGTCTCAACCCACACCCGTCATATACAGTATGATGGCATGAAACATCCACACGTTCAACCACGTTCACCGTCAGCCAGGCCTCTTTTGGCTCCGGTGCTACAAGCCTGTCAACAGTTGGAAGCACCGTTGAGAGCGCTAACATTTCTCGCGCAGCGTTGGTTCTTGCGTTCTTCCTTGACATGACAACCTTCTCCCCAACCGGCTGAATAGTCAAATCTGCTATGCTCCAGCCAAACAGCCACAAGCCTCCAAACGCTTTACGGTCGGTGGTGGTGGTGGCTGCCTGGCCTGAACCTGGAGAAAAAGGCTCACATCCAATCCTTGTGATCTCAGTGACAGTGGGGAAACGTCTCAAGCTAAATTGTCTGACCAAATAACATGTTTAGGAAGATGTTAATCCATCTGTTTGAAGGCCACCATGCAGTAGTTAAAAAGGTTGGGGAAGTCAAGCACGGTTGTTTCAGCACTCAGGACTCACATGTTCTGCCAAGCGTCAACTGCTGCCTGTGAAGCAGAAAGGAGCGCGTCTATCGAATCTATGGCAGATTTTTCGAACGCATCCGCCTAAGAACAAAATCAAAATGCCAAATGCTCAAATGCTCTTGTTCATTGCTGAGAACCCTGCATCAATCACAGGTGGAGCAGCCACAGGCATCGGCTGCGGAACAGGGATCGGAACTGGCATTGGCACCGGCACAGGGGCCGGTAGAGGCGGACTCCGCGCGGCACCTCGGTCTTTGCCGCTGAAACTCGTGAGACCAATCTGCCTTCCTTCTCTTGAGCCTCACCACAGTCACCTCAGCCCTGTTGGCAAACCCAAGTGACTGGCAACCGGGGCCGCGGTAGCTTTGGCCGCGCGCCATTGCTGAAGCTCCAAAACGCCTAGGTGCTGCAGACAGTCATCAGGGATGAGGTGCAACTCCCGAAAGGCACGAACAAACGGAAGAAGGAGTCCAGGAGAGGAGAGGGTCCAAAGCAAGAAGAACCGCAAGGAGAGGAAGAACCAAAAACAGCAGAAATGATACTTTCATAACCCTGGACATGGCGATGCCACTGAGATCAGCTGAGACACCTATTGGCTCACCATCCAGATCTTCATCGTTGCCTCAAAACGACGAGAACATAAAAGGCCAAAGGCTCTTCCCGGGGCCTCATTTTCCAGACTGCCTGCCGCAGGCGCATCATGGACAGGCGTCTCCAAACAAGACCATCTGGGAGCTTCAATCGAAGTCATCGGCACTGAAGCTGACTGGTTCCTCCCAAGTGTGACACGGTTTTTGTGCGAATCTTGCATGGTCCGATGTTGTAATCGAACCTGTCGAACCCTCCTATGAGCTGACACGACTTTCCTCGCCCTCTTCCGCACCAGGGAGGCATCAACGGGCGTTCCATCCAGGTCATCCGAGATCTTAGGCTCGCCGGGGTCGCCTTCTTCGGGCATGGTCGTGCTACCATCCACTTGGCTTGTGGTCGATCGGCTGAGCCAATACTCCTCAAAGACTCTAAGCCTTTGCAGCAGCATGGATCGTGAAGGTGGAATCTGGCCAGTGCTGGTCCACAGCCCTCTATTGCGGCATCTTCGCTCCAATGCTACCAAGTCCAAAGCTGCATACACTTCCAATTTCCTTGAGGAAATGAAATCGACGGCTCTCTCTCCAGCCCAGAAGGCTTGTGGATTTCAGTCGCTTATATAGTTCCGCAAACCTACAAACAGCATTAGGATTCCTATGGGAATAGGCCTTTGAATTCTTATCGGCCTTTCTCCAAATCTCCGTTGAAAATGCTGACCAGCTTCAATCGAACATCTTTGGAACTTGGATATGGCACCGCCTCGATGGCCAAAGCTCCAGCGAAGGCAGCCGCCTCCAGACCTCATTTGGTGCAGAGGTAATGCCGCTTCCCCCAAACCAGAGCAACTCCCGTTCCTCCGGGCGTGGTGGCAACTCCGAACATGCACGTGGGCACGCATGGGACTGCGCATGGTATCGCTCGATCTAGGCAGATACCATCAAGATAGAGCGTAGGGAAGAAATCCGAGGATCGCCAGGCCTGAAGGCACGGCCCTCTATTGGAGAGCGACAGCTGAGATGAAATCAAATCATGTCTTGAAGAATTCTTGTTCTCCAAGGCTCCTTGAGAAGTTGCCTGAGCTTCATCTCTGCATAACTTCTCTCGCCCTGGCTGATCTCCCCAGCAGCTCTCAGGCCCACATACCACCTGTGAAAAATGCCAGGAAGCAGCTCCTGCCGCAATGAGCACACTACACATTAAGTGACGAATCTGAAGCAAATGCTAGATTTGCTGGTGTCAAACGGCGCTTCAATCCCGCTTCCTCAAAGGCTGATCGGTAGGTGCTTGCACCAGGGCATCGGTGAGCATAGCCTGTGTTGTGCAAAATGTCCGAAATACCTTGGGCCAGGATGGGGCACATCGCCGTCGCCAAATGAGTTTGATTCAGCCACAGTCGGTCTTGAAGAAAACTGAATGTCTTCCCAGTTGCAAAATAAACAGGCCAATTCCTGAGCTCGAATCTACTGCAAATGACAAGCAAAAAAGGTAGCCAGAAAACCCCTATCTGAACACAAAGCTACTGTGCCACCTCTTGTTCAGAGAGGGAGCTAGCACAAGCACCGATTGTGAGCCATCCTGCAGCTCAACCATCTGCTGCCAGGACTCGAGTACCCCTATGGGCCCTGTAGATGATACACAGCGAGCTGCCAAATGGGTAGCCAAGGTCTGTGCGTGCGCCGCTTGCTCTAGACCTTTGAGACCGCCGATATGTGATATTTGCGTTGAAACCAGTGTTGAGTTTCTGGCATGAAGTGACGCCTCATTCAACTGGTTTTTTTCGTGGTGAATCAGCTCAGTCAACTTGACGACTCACCCTAGACACAGAACACCGTCCGGTGCACCAAAATCGACCGCACTGCACAACCGAGTGGCAGAACACCATGGTTTCTGCAATGGCAGACCTGTGCAGGCCCAATTTGGCCTCAGGCTGACTTGCTTTGCTGAATTTGCGTTCTTGTGCATTCCGTCACAAGAAGTAAGAACAAAAGCCCCACAGCTGTTCCAGGCCTCATCCAAAAGTGAGTCCAGAACTAGAGTGAGACCTTGCAACAAGCAGGCCCCCCACTTTGGCTTCTATACAAGAACGAGACACACCTAATCAAAGAACTGCATGGTGGGTGTATATCATCCTTACACACACAGCCCTAGTATAATTTCATTCAGGATTGTGTGGACAAACCCTTCCTTTGATTAGTCTCATCAATCCTTCTGTTTTCACCCAGGCCTGCTGTCGGTCCTGGAGTTGCCGGGTGTAAGGAAGCCTCCCCCACTTGACTAAATCAAAGAAGCAACAGGCAATGCGTTCAGTTCTATGCTGCGCTGCACTGCATTGGAAAGAAGGAAACTTCTAAGCATTTTAGATTTCTAGTACGCAAATCATTTAACAAATGTGTGCAGTACATCTCGACTGCCACAACGCTGACCTGGCAGACCTGGCAGACTGCATGACAATGGGGTCCAGGTTCAATATACAAACGTTTTTTTCCCTTTGCTGGTTTTACACTCTGTGCCAGAAAATGTCTTGGTTTATCATTACCAAAGCGCTGAAAATCCAGGACTTGCTCCTGCTGCTAAAAACGTTGTAGCACTATTGGATATGCGCAGATTGCCACCATGAAGCCTGAGCAGCTGTCGTGCTCATCGGCTCTTGCTCTTCCAAGTGCTCGTTGCATGCTTCCCTTGCAGGTTTTGACAATGCAAGCACGAGTCCAGCCAATGCCCCGAAAATTTGCACGCATACCGCATACAGGGCCGTTCTTCGATTCATCTGGTGCTGCTTTTCTCAGTTCACCATGGATGACATGTCCAACACCGGGGACGCTCGAAGACTGCTTACTCTTCCGGATATCTCAATGCTCCCCTAGGTCTCTTACATATTGTGCTACCCAGCCTCAAGGATGCTGCGTCTGGACCTGAGCATCTCCAACTGCTCGACTCTGCAACTTCCAAAGCTGATCGCTTCTTGAGAACCCCACCGAGGGCGCCAGCTCTCCCATCACCAAGAGCCTCTGGCCGCCCCAACTCGGTTGCCTGCTGTCTCGAGCCTGCACACAACACACAAAAATATGTGCTCCAAGATCTCACAACTCGCATTCTCCAATCAAAAGAAAGTGTCGCCGTCCAAAGGAGACCATGTCAGACCTTGTGTTCTCTACATCGCAAGCAGCATCACTCATCTCGATTGGCCTTCCACTCGGATCCTTCGGCGGCGGCGCCGGCGCACTCCTGCCGCAAACCGTGCGGGCAGCGCTCGTCGCGGACCCGTCGCGCTCTAGCAGGCACTGATCCATTCCCGCCTTCACCAGCTCTACGCCCAGAATGGCCTCCAATCACAAACCGTGGTCTTGTGGGTGTGAAGCTCCACTATGTCTATGTTTTGAGCGAATCTCGTGGTGGGAAAGCAGGGGAGGCGGTGCCTCCTGCATCTCTCCGGGAGGAAGAAGCAGTCCCATCTCGAGCGTGTCCTGCAAAGACCAAGAAAGCCGACGGGTGGAGGATCAAGCTGCGGTGCATCTGCATGACGGCCTCCTGGAGAAGTTTCCGAGGATGAGGCCATGACGACGCGTCTGGCCGGCCTCTTCCTGCAAAGGTTGCAAGGCGATGGCCACTCAGCGAAGCAGTACACAATAGCTCAAAATGGAAGGTCAGGGCATATGTCACAGATTCAAGGCGAATTAATGAGCCTTGGGCGTCGACGATCGCGGCTATCACGGCTGTCACCTGAGCCCGGCCCTCAAAGCCACCAATTCCCAAGGCCAAAAAAGTCCAAGTTTCACGGCAAACTAAACCTCCATGCCAAAAGTGCCAAGAAGCTATAGGTGCGAAAGTTGCGACTGTCACGGCTGTCACGGCTGTCGCTTTGCTCTCGCCGATCCCACCTGACACACAAAAAATCCCCTGCGTGTGCTTTGCCCATGCCATGAGAATCCATGAGACTTGTGAGCCTTCCACGCGGACCAACCTAGGTGCGAGGTTCAGGAAAACTTTATATAGTATACACTACATTACACTACTATATACACCCATCTTTAGATGCTTTAGTTTTGCAGAACTCTTTGCATGCGGCTCATGAATCTTTCCCGTCTTTAGTTGTAAGGCAGCAGCATCAGATCTTGACCTTGATCTAGCTCGAAGTGGGGAGGGAGAGCCTGATCAAGCTAACTCTGAAACTAAAATCTTCGGCAGCGTCATGAGTGAATACTGAGTGGCTACTGTGACTACAAGCCAGCATTCTCAGGCACCTGGGCGCTCCTCCAGCCGCAGGTGAGAGGCAAATGATGCAGACTGAGTTGCGTAAAAAAGATGCACGTAAAAACAAAACCAGACGTTGCATGCTGTTGATCTCCTGCCTTTCAAAAAATATCACCTACCGATCCATCAAAACCATTTCTCTCCTTCTCTCTATCCCAGGCTAGCTGTGAAGGAGAGAAAGCGCCATAATAGAGAGAATGTTGAGAACGTTTCAGTGATGATAAAGGCATGCGTTCCCAACATTTGAGAGGCTTTGCGCGTGCCTTGTACTGAAGAAGCCATGACGCACATAGGACGACATACAGTAAGTGCATTGGAAGATGAACTTCGCAGTCGAGTGGCTTGGACAAGCGTGATCCCATGGTTCGCATCTGCATCCCGCGCCTGGTCGTCAGCTGCATAACGCATAACGCAGTAAATGCTCGGAAAGCGGTCACCCTTTTGGCCCTAACCCTGAGGACTTCTAAAGGATACGTGCCTTAATGATCCTTTATGCGAGGAGACTAGTGACTTAGTAACTGCCCTACGGCCCTAGGCCTTCTTGACAGTGAAGCACGAATGGCCTGGTAAGAATAGATCTGAGAGGACCACGGAGCTGCATGAGTGTCATACCTGGAAACACCAACCACAAGAACAATTGACATAGCAGTAGCAAACTACCCACACTGGAAGCAGTCGAAGTCTCAACGCTGGGCATGCTGAAGAGTGGCAACAGAATGAAACAGGTGTCTTGAGGTGAAGACGGTGAGCTTCCCAATCTTCAACTCCTAGTGTTTTGCCTCTGAACTCCACATAATTCAACCCAGCGTCGGATCGTAGCTCATCGATCTGTCCTGGGAATCTGGAACTCACTGAGTTCATAACGCGGCAGAACATCTCTCTCACGGCACCCATGCAGAAACCCATGCAGAACGATGCTGCACACCCTTTGCAGCTTGAGGTCTTTGCTCATCTTCGTTTCCAAATTTGCCTTTGGTTTTCAATCAATCGTGGAACACTTGGAGCGAATAATGTTGAAACTATCCCGGCCATGGCACATTCCAGGTCGGTCTCGTTCCGGCCGTCAGACCATTCAGCCATCGGCCGGCAGGAGTCCACCTTCTTCCCACGGGCCACACACGCGACGCGGCGGGGTCTGAATCGGAACACGACTTAGCTTCTAGGTTTGGCTTCATGTGCCTTACATGGTTGGAGATGTGCAACTGGTCTTGCATGTTGAAGGCAAGGGGTTTTTGGCCCCCTGCACGGGGAACAGGCAGTGAAAATCGTGCATGTGGATCAGCGGCACTGAAACATGCTATCACACAACCTTCTTGACTTTTGACAGTTGCTTCCTAAGCCTGCATTTGCTCTCTTTCCTCACTGATGTTTCCTCCCGATGCTTGAGCCAACGGTGCCACATTGTGAAGATTCAGCAGGTGAACTCCTCACTAAAACAAGGCTTTCGGATTCCTTCTTGGCAAACCCAATGTCAGGCTCTTCCTCCAGGATCATAGTCACTCATAGTAGATACCGCCTGCTAAAGAGGTCTCCCATCCATTTCCCAATCCCAGCGTGGGTTCAGCTTGTGGTAGGCCCCCTACGACCGAGTTCCAATGTTGTGGGACTCGGGATCCAAGGCTTCACCTGGAATGCTTAGAGGTGCCAGAGAAAACCGCTTTTACATGGAAATCTGATCATGTGGGGGCCAAAGCCCATTGGATGTGAATGAACTGTGCAACCAGACATTGGTCGTCCGACTTTTAGTGCTTTCAGGGCTTGAGACGAGATGCAAATCCTCCAGCCTCACCCACCCCAGCCCCTCAACCCAGCCGACAGGTGACAGGTCCACCCACCCAGACCAGCCCCAGTCACCTCGAAGACACCGGTGGAGATCTCCAGCACGGAGATATCGAAGGTGCCACCCCCCAAGTCGTAGACCGCCATAATCTGCCCATCCTCCTGGGGTCGTGGTCTACCCGTCGCCCAGTGGTAGACCCAGTCGCCGGCTTCAGGGGACAGAAGGGTGACTGAAAGTCTGAAAGTTTTTTTCTAATAGCAAACATTGTTACTACTAGTAAGGCACCTGTTACTACTAGCGTGGCACTTGTTACTAGTAGCTTCTTGTTTCTACTCTCAAAGGGAATCATAGTCAACAAAAAGAAAACAATTCTCTTGAGACTGCCACATCCTTAATGACTCATGGAGGTTTTCAGATCCCTTAGGCAAGCCTTCTTTTCCATCCCAAATGCCAATGCAGCTGCTGTCGGCTCATTGATGATTCTCAAAACTTCCATGCCAGCAATCTTCCCAGCATCCTTCCTGGTGTCGACATGCTTTGCGAGAGAAGAAAGACGCGGAGTTGCCCGCCAAAGGCTACAGTAGTGGATCTAGTCGTGCTCTTTGAAGAAACAATCCGTATCTCGATGCAGCTTCGGTGCGTCGCTTGTCGCTGATGATCATTAAAGTAGGCTGGAACTGTGATCACAGCCTGATGAAAACAAAGCCACATGCGCTGGAGTGTAAGACCAAGCCAGGGCTGGCCCATGCCAAGATTCCAGAGAGCTGCCATGTCTTAATGGTAAGTGATAAGTGCAAACCCTATCAGGATTGCTTGCCTGCCTTGCTAACTGTGCGCCCCAAGTAGCTTTCGGCTGTTTCTTTCCTTGGCTGCCAAAGGCGCAACGTTGCCTCCCTTTGCCAGCAGCAACGCTGCAACTGCACGTTAACCTGCTGCATGTCTTGCCGAAGCATGTCACTCCAAGAATCATCTTGGTGAGGACGAAGGCACCAATTTGGCTAGGCGAATACTGCTGGCTGGCAGCTTCCACCCAAGCATCTCCGTTGGCCGCCTCCATCGAGCTGTCTTCCAACGTGGCTAGGCCATATAGGAACTGCAGAATTTTTACTGTACCTGTTTTACCCTTTTTGATCCAGTGTTACACCTCTTGAACCTCACCTTGACGATCTTGTAAGGCAAAATCTTCTTGTCCTTCTGTGTTGCATCCTCGTCGTACGTTCGTCCAATCAGGCGCTTGGCCGCAAAGATTGTGTTTTCCTGAGCTGTCCACGGCTTGAATCGACTACGTTTTTCACCAGCAAGCACACAAATGAAAAAGAGTATGTATGGCCTGAGAATGGCAGGTTGTCTCTGCAAATGAGTCTCCGGATTGGTAACTGCTTGCCGTTTGGCAGGAATGCCAACTAATCGCTGATCATTGTTGAAGCCTACCACCGAGGGTGTGGTTCGCATACCCTCGCCTGGCACAATGCAGGGCCAAAAGCTGCCATGGGCCCACCACAAGAAGTCATGACGCAGCAGAGGACAAGTGGTGGAATATGGTGGAATCTTACAGGCAAAGCACACAGACCATCCATTATCGTGGATTATCCCCTTTATATCTTCCCCTCCGTCTTGTCCAGTCTCTTTACTCACCTCGTGTCTGACCTTCTCACTGCAGGGGTTCTTCAGTGAGGCCACGCCCTTTTGTGCTGTGGCACTTGTGCAGGGAGATTTCACCCGTTTTGGTTCCAGCTGTTGGGACTGTTCGTTGATGGTTTGCCCTTCCTGATGAATTATAGTAAGCGAACGCGATAAACGAGGCGCATGATGGTCTTAGTTGGCCATGTTCCTAAAACTAGGCAACACACTCACACACTTCGTGGGGAGGGGGGGCCAGGATGAAAGTGTGAGTCACCCACGCTCCATGTCCGCAATGTGGTAATGTGGTTGGGGTGGTTGGTCGTTGTGGGTTGAAGGTGTTGCGAAGTGAAGGCGTTGATCATTCGTGTTGAAATGAGCAACAATAAGTCACTCAAATTGCAGGAGCCGCCGTTGCAACTGAGATGAAGATTTGGCAAAACTTGCAAGCTGCTGCAAGTTTCAAGTGTGCATAAACACATCCTCTGGTTCATCACGAGTTGCCCGGTTTGCAAGTGATCTGTCGCAACCTCTTGTGGTGATACCATACATAAATCCAAGACACTATTTTCAATGACCTTGGGCGTGCTGCCCTCCATAATTGCAACACCTCACAGCTCAAAGCTTCAGCTTCACAGTAGACAGAAGGGAAAGGAACCCCAAAGAAAAAAAAACAAAACCGTGTTGCTGTAAACAAAACATAGGGAATAAGCAAACCTCCGCACTCTCTTGAGCACACATATGCGAGCACAACGGGAGCACAAATATAGAGGAGCACACACATGGGAGCACACATGCATGAGAATACATGCCGGAACTCACAGCATGAGAGCACATATGTTGCACTTCGAGCTTCACAAAATGATGCCCGTGCTTTGAGGTTTACAAAGCGCTGCGCCTGCCATGAAATCTGCACATGAGTCTTCACAAAGTACTGGGTCTGCCACGAAAAATCCACACATGGACGTTCACCAAGTACTGCGTGCCCCGAATCTGCACATAGACGTTCACAAAGCGCCACGAAATCTGCACATGGACGCTCACAGCCGTTCGCCATCCTTGCTCTTGTCACGTCTTCACGAGGTCTCCTGGTCTTGTGGGAATGATCATTGCTTATGTTCCCACGTTCCAATGCTATTGCCGGATCCTGCAACATAGATTTGCGGGCATCCTGTCTTGGTTGGACTGCTTTTCACTGGCAATCGCAGATGCGCTAATGCGTTTGGCCGCTGGCATCTAAAGAACAATCACAGCAAAAGACCTTTAGAGATCGTTCAAAGGCTGTTGCTCCGAACCCGCCCAATAATTGGGGTGGGTCGTTGACAGCTGTGTTTGATCTTGGGCTTGCAACCACGGCAGAACATGACGCGGCGTTTTCGCAAACTCCTCTTCAAACTCAACAGTAGTTGAATTCCAACCTTCTTGACATGATAGATCATACAACGGTTCTGAAACCCACCGGTTTTATCATTAACTTCTATCGCAAAGGCGCCATGGCAATATGAACTCCAGCTTGGTTCAGCCAGTTGACCAAGTAGAACAATCTCAAAGCTCCACAAATGCACTGTTCAATTCAACCCACATGCCTGCGTTGGGTCCATCTGTTCAAGTCCCCAAAACAGGCTTGCTGCCAGGCCCTTTGCCGACCAGTACACCTGCTCAGTTTTCAATGGAGTATGAGTATGAGCTTGGTTACCAAGTGAACAGTTTTCCAATGAGCTTGAATTATTTGGGATGGAAAGCATCCATGTTGAAGACGCTCGCATTGTCTTCTTTTGCCAAAACTGCAACGCAAAAATCTTACAGAGAGTCCTGTTAATATTGGAGCCCAAACGTAAAATTGAGCAGCAACGGCCAAAGCGGGCCAAAAGTTGGGCCCTCTACGGTGCCCACCAAAAGTTCAGCTTGGCAAAAACTTCTGGACCTGAGTGCAGGCCTATGCTGTGGGACTGGCTCTACTGACTGCAGGCTCTACCGCCCCCCACGCTCTCCAGTTCCAATCTCCACGTTGTCGCAATATCTGCTATATGCCAAGGCCACAGGATGCTTTGTGATGATGAATGCACTCAAAGATTGTGATTTTGAGCAGCATGGATTTTGTTTGAAAAACGAGTGCTTGGTGAGTGAAATATGAGTGATTCTGCAAATGGATGGCTCCCTCCGTTCACAGCATTTGGATGGGCAACGACATCTCTTGTAAGCGCAGTTTTAAAATTCGGCCGGTTGGATGATGGACCTGATAGGCTGAGGGCTGTTCACTATCACGGACTGTTAAATCTTGAGCTCCATGTGGCGGGCGGATTTTCCAGCAAACTGGTCCATCAGTGCGGCCTATCTCGGAAGACCTCTGCCAAGCTTCACCTTCATATGTCCAAAGCGCTGCACCTGCCACGAAGAGCACCAGAACACGAGTGTTCCCTGCGCCTGACACGAAAAGGGACCACCCAGTCCGAAAACGTGCACTGCACCACAAAGAGAGAGCAGTCGAGGCAAGCACTCTCTTACGGCGGAAGGTTTGTGCGAGCCTGCGATAGCCTGCGCGGTCGAAAATGCACTTCGAAGATCTCGAGAGGCGTGAATGTGCTGCAACTGGCAGCGAATTAGCCGGCGACCGATGTGAGCACCCTCGATCAAACCCAGCCTTACCACCTACCGGAAGAATCCCCACACTATTGGGGGAATCTTCAATACAGCTGTGTGTATCCTGAAGATGATCACCATGGTCGTGATCATACGTCAAAAAACCTGCAAGATAAGCCAATCCAATGATTCCAAAGGCGCATGAGTTTGTGGTTCCCAGGTCAATTCCAATGATATCTGTATGTGTTCGCCTCGCGCCAGGCATGCTCCTTGGCTCTGCATCTCAAGCCGACTCAAGCCCCTTCTTGCCCAAGATATCCAGTCTAACAGACCAAGAACAAAGTGCACACAAACATGCACGTTTATCTTGCAAAGGTACTACATGTGACAAGAACGTGTGCAAACATACAGTAGTGAATCTCTCTGTGTGCGTATGCATGTGTGAGCGCATGGTCTCTTTTTTGAATGCCGTGCCTGTGACACAGGCCCCCAGTTTAAAAGTCGACGCTCATAGATCATGAGAAAGATTGCATTGGTAGCCAAGGTTCAAGAAACGGCGTGACAGCCTGGCGGAAGGGCGCAGCATCCTGCACAAGCCATCCGCAGACAGGTGCTTTGCAGCATGTGCTCGAAGAGAAACCCAATCAAGACTTGGGGATGGGGGATGTGTGGGAATCACTGCCATTCTCTCCCCCATCCAGATCTAGCACGGAGTCCCAGTGGAAGCCATTTAGATCAGACTCCAATTGTACGTCGAACGTTACGTCCCAACGTCCTCGACAACGACATCTTCGCCCAACTGAAAGCAGGCGACTCAACACCAAAACAAAACAAAAAACTTGATCCAAGCAGCATCCGCAAAACATGTGGAGGAGGCAACTGTTTGACACACCTCATAAACCAAAACTCTATTCAAAAAATAAATGCACCCAATGCCAAGCCTCAAAAAGCACGACGGACAGACACGCAACCCGGCTTCGCCCAGCACATCTTTTTTGCACACGTTCTTGAAGCAAGCACTCTTGCCAGGCTGCCATCGGGGGTATTTCGTGGTCAGATTCACTTTGACTTATATATACATATATATATATATATTTGTATGTATGCATGCATGCATGTATGTATATATTTGGTAAGATTCAGCCGGATTGGCTGACTCCACCGAGGCGCCATGGCGGGGCTTCTCCAAACCACCGAGGCATGGAGGCATGAGGCCCACCTCTTGGCACTTGGCGACCTGGTGAGTACCGTGACTTAGCCAGTCACCTATCATGACCGGTTGACACCTGTCCTGTTCCAAGGAGAACTCCACTGACTCCACCCTTCCAAAGGCTCAAGTGCCAATTGAGGTGCTTCCCTTGCGAAGCAAGCAGGGAAGACTGAAGACTGCGCATCCTCGGGGATTGACGCCCCTTGGGTTGCTGTACTGCCTCTGGCTTGGCCATGAACGGCAGCACGAAGTTGTAGCAACCACTGAGGGGGAAACGATGCCAACATGTTCGACTCTTCAACCTCGACTTGAAAACGCTAATGGTGTGTGAAAACTCCTCGATGTATTAACAGACCTCACACACGCTGGGTTACCCTCAGGTCACGGGGCAACACAAGGAATATCGCGCACGCAAAGACGTGTCGTTGACACACTTGCATTGCGAAATGAACTCCAGCAGCCGGGCAGCCGGGGCAACTGGCCATAAGACTATGAAATTTGCCCAGTGGAAGGTTCTTCCTCAAGAACTATCCCAAGGCACCAGTGGCAGACTCCTCTCACAAATCTACTCCAGTAATGGAGGCTCCTGTCCACAGCAACTCTCTGGCCATGAGCCCTGAAGTTTGCTTCGACAATTGAATAACCCTCAAACTACACAGCCACCAAGCCCACTAAGTCACTGAGCCTCACTAAGCCACCCGTGCCTCATCAGAGTCAGAGCTGGCCTCAGCTTCAAACCTCTCCTCGTAGTGGTTGCACTGCGGCACCTGACAAAGTGAGACATGCCAAGATGCGGAATGCACGCGGACATGTCTCAAACTCGGCGTGCATTTGAAACCTTGTGGAAAACATTTTAATCATTTCTCAACGTTTTCAACCCAAGCATATAGCCCGGCCCGGAACAATTACCAAATATATATATATATATATTCCCGAAAGCATTGCGAAGGGTTCTTCCGGAAAATCCTTTGAACACTGACACTTCGACACTTACACTTAGACATTGACACTTTCACCACACTTGCAGGACAACATGAACGCTATACGTAGCCCTGTGTAAGTGGAAGGGCAAAAGCAGTGAAGTGCAAAGTGTGCAATGCAAGTGTCAAAGTATGCAAGTGGAAGTACGCAAGTGTAAGTATGCAAGTGATGAGTTGCAAGCACGCAATGAGTATGCAAGCATGCACTGAGTAGGCAAGTGTGAGTATGGAAAACTAGCACGGGAGATGTCCTAATGAAAAAACATTTCCCCACTTTATAAATTCTCTCTTAAAGGCGGAGGGTGGGACGAACAGCGTCAACCGAAAGTGCAACCCTCTGCGGAGATCGTGCGTGTCAAGTGCGCGAAATGCAGGCGAGAGTGCGATTTGCCGGCTGCGCGCGCAACCCTCTGCGGAGATCGCGCGTGTCGAGTGCGCGAAAAGCAGGCGAGAGTGCGATTTGCCGGCTGCGCGCGCAACCCTCTGCGGAGATCGTGCGTGTCGAGTGCGCGAAGTGCAGGCGAGAGTGCGATTTGCCGGCTGCGCGCGCAGCCCTCTGCGGAGATCGTGCGTGTCGAGTGCGCGAAATGCAGGCGAGAGTGCGATTCGCCGGCTGCCCACGCAACCCTCTGCGGAGATCGTGCGTGTCGAGTGCGCGAAATGCAGGCGAGAGCGCAATTTGTGAAATTACCGCGCAACCCTCTGCGGAGATCGTGTGTGTCGAGTGCCCGAAATGCAGGCGAGAGCGCGATGTGTGAAATGATCGCGCGACCCTCTGCGGAGATCGTGCGTGTCGAGTGCGCGAAATGCAGGCGAGAGCGCGAAGTGTGAAATGACCACGCGACCCTCTGCGGAGATCGTGCGTGTCGAGTGCACGAAATGCAGGCCAGAGTGCGATAGGTTTAGCGGCGGAGCAAGCTGTGGAGCTGGAAGCTGAGAACTGGCGACTTCGTGGCACAACTTCAGTACGCGGAGTAGCTGGGGAGCTGGAAGCTGAGAACTGGCGACTTGGTAGTACAACTTTAGTACGCGGAGTAGCTGGGGAGTGGGAAGATGAGAACTGGCGAGTGGGTAGTACAACTTGAGTACGCGGAGTGTCTAGGAAGATGGAAGATGAGCACTGGCGACTTTGTAGTACAACTGTAGTACGCGGAGTATCTGGGGAGTGGCCAGATGAGAACTGGTGACTTGGTAGTACAATGACTGGTAGTACAACTTTAGTACGCGTAGCCGGGGAGCTGGAAGATGAGAACTGGCGACTAGGTAGTACAAGTTGAGTACGCGGAGCAATCTGTGGAGCTGTCACCGCTTGGCCGCCAGTGGGGGTTTGGGAGGCCTGCGCGCTACTTCGTTCATCTCCTCTGACAGGTCACTGCTTCGAGACACTTCTGGCGCACCTGCCTCGGCACTTTTCTGTCCTCGTTCCGGTTCGTTTTTTCCGTGAGCTTTTCCTGGCGCCGTGCACGCTGCTTCTCCCCTTACCAGCAGCTCAAATGCTCATGACGATGAGCTGGGCTGTCACCGCTTGGCCGCCGGTGGGGGGTTTGGGAGGCCGCATCACACACAAACACCCACGCACTGCCTTAACTTACACGAACACACACACACATACGCAGACTTATATACACACGGACATAGATACACACACAGAAACCCACACACTACCTCAACTCACTCGACTTAACACTTCACACTGCACACTTAACAGATAACTCGCACTCTGACTTCCTACGTGATGAAAAATGCTTTCGGGCCACTCGTCGTCTAGTATATGTCTTTTTCAGAGCTGATTTTGAGTAATTACTGAGCCTCTCGGACAGCATTGGTTTGCAGGCTCTGAAGTACTCAAGATCGGCTCAAGACTTCCTCTGAGAGTGCCAATGCATGGCACTGGAATCCCGACTTAGTGCTCCACACAGGGTGGCTGAGTTGGCTCAGGAGGCACGTTCAAAGCAGGCGGGGGTGCATGTACTGGCGCATGCAGCTCCTCGCCCAAGGTCCAAGGCCGGCGCTCCCGTGAACAAAACTGGATTGCTCCACCGTCGTCACTAAACCCTGAGAGCCAGACCGGTGGCAAGCCATCAGTGGTTGCTTCACCTGCGCAATCAAGCATGCCCTCTTCAGTATTCAAACCTCACTTTCTGTTGGCAGGCAGCGTGACAATTGTTTGTGAGGCTTGCAATGGGCGGCTTGCAGCTTGCAACGCAAGCCCCACCTGTTGAGGCAGCTGGAACTGGAACATGCTCCGCGTCTTTTCTTGGAAGTGGCCTTCGAAGGAAAACCGCGCAAAAAGTGAAGCCATGTTATATACAGCTTTGTGCAACAGTTGGAAGGATGTCATGGCGTAAAACCTTGAAAACACCATCTCCCACGTGTCCAGCCATCCCGCTTTCAGCAAGGTTGGTACCATCTTGGTCCCAAAAGTCCAGGCAAAGCCGCAAAGCTCGCAACTCCGCTGAGCCGTTGGAACGGACGTTTGTTGTTCTGAGACAAGGACGGCTCATCATGGGGCAGGCTATCTGCTACATGCACCTCACCAAGTCAGTATAACTTCGATAGTACTGTAAATCTTCGTCGAGCACTGAGGAGAAACCAGAGCGAAACTTCCAACAACAAGCTTCTTAATCCAGACTTGTTATTGCTAGCTCTCTCTCTCTCTCGATCTTTTGTCAAACCCGAACAGAGTTGCTTTAGGAGTTCGCCAGGTCTTAGGGGTCACAAACATATACAGTAGAAGCATCCTTCCAGGCTTTGTTCGCGTGGACGGGCTGCGAAGCATACTCTGAGCTTGCCGGCTGTGGCCAATTCTTGCGGTTTTGCAGTGACTTCTTGACCTCGGGTGGTCACTGATAATGCAACTGGTGTCATTGGCCTAAACCACAGACCGGCTAGAGTGATGAAGATCCCAGTCCCATTCCTATATCTTCTTCTCCATCGCCCTCTCAAGAGTTTAGCCGTTAGCTAAAGGCGAGCACACAACCCAATGCCAGGAGCAGGTTCTCAGCGGCCAAGCTCGGTGGCTAGCCGCTTCATTTGCACATTCCTATATCTCTATACCACAATTGAAGCACGAGCTGTCGCTGGGGGTTCTTGGACAAGTCACACACCGGGGACTCCTCGGCGAAGGCTTCAAAGCGCTTCGGCATCCTGAGAAAATGCAGGGCGAAGATTAAGAACACTGTCTTTCACAGCAATGTTCATTCAGTTCCTTCATAATGACATGGGGGATTCGCAAAAGTCCCCATCAAGAGCGGGGGGACATACGTTGCACTGGCCTTTTGTCGTGCTAAAAAATGGGCGAACATGCCACCAGTCCTAGAAACCCGACGGCAGAAGCGCTTCACGGCACGCCACCTTGGATCCAGGCGGGGGCGTTTCACTTGCACAAAAAGGCGTCAACGACCGGAGTCACCACTCGTGGCGGTGACATCAGACGTGGCGGTGCTTTTGGCTGTGTATGACCAAGTGGCTGCTTATGCAGACCCAAAACTCCACGCATCGGTGCCTCGACAGGGCACACAAGAACACGACGTGAATCAGTGGTTCCTGTGAGTGGGGCAATCCCGACCAAGTGCTGAGGATTCAAAGGACCCGACATAAGCTGACTACAAGAGTCTTTAGAGACAACGCAAAACGGAAAAAGGAAAGGCGGAAGGACCCCTTTTTGTGACTCTCTTAGGTTCCCTCGATCTTCTCCAACATCCGATCTCTGCTGGATTTCCAGCCAGCGAAGGCCACCAGTTCTGGGAAGACCCCCATGATGCGACGCTTGGAGATCACCCGGTCATAGGCCAATTCGGGGCTCAGGTCCATGAAGCCTCAGGACAGGATTTCCTAGTACATAGGACGTAGGGCCATGAAAAAGACATAGGACGTAGGGTTATCGTCTGAACCAACAAGACATGTTTGTCACCAAGAAACTTGCCAGAAAGCAAATCACACAAACCGCACTGCGGCCCTTTCCACCATTGCAGTGGACGTAGACACCGATTCCTGGCGTCGACGAAGCCCGAAGCTTGCCGTGTGTCACCACCGGCACCGCTGTTTTGCTCAGCCTTTTCGGACGTGGGCCGTGATGAAGTGGACCGCAGCCTCACAGCAAGAGCATGCAAAAAGCAGGTTTGGGAGGAAGATGCAGAAAACTAATGTTTGGGATCCTTCAGGCGATTTTTTAGGCTGTGGCCCACCAAATGCCAAGGGGGGCTTAAGACTATCCGACGCCCCACCTCGATATCCTCCTGCTTGGGCGCAAAGAAGTCTGGGGTTGGCAAGTGCAAGTGCTCAATGCCGCAGCTATCCCTGAAGACGTTGAATCATTGTCTCTCCAAGAGAAAATGTTCTCTGAAGACTACATTAATTAATATACCCATTTGATATTGGAGATGCCCGCCAAGCGGTTTGCTTGCTATGGAACCTGCAACTGTCTCCAAGTGTGGGTGTGTGGGTGTGTGACCCACCTCACGAATTTATTGGAGAGCTCCATCTCCCAAGCCTCATTCAGAGTGACCTTGGTCAACTGCTTTCTGCACTCTTCCATTTGACGTGTTCAATTCATTCATTGCAACGCATATCAGCAGCTTGCACCAGCGATGTGTAAATCTTTCACTGGCATCTTTGTGGCCGAGCAGCCATGGCTCCTACCCCGAGGGACTTCAATTCCTCCAAGTCTTCCATTGTCCTAGGCAAGCCTTAGAGGAGCTGGGTTGCAATGTGCTCGAAGTTGCAGCTGCTAGAATGTCTGGAACGAGCATTGAAGTGGGGCATACTGAAATCCACTCTGAGCAGCTCCCAAGATACAAATGATTGTCAATCTGCGGGGCGCAATGTTGTCAGGTTCAATCCCCACCCATGGCTTGCAATCAAGCCAAAAGAATTCTGGCAATCATTTATATAGCTAATTGTCAGTGAGCTGGTGCTACTCAGCCGTCACTGTTGTATCATTTTGGAAGCACTTTATGTAAAAAAGGCCTTGTGATAGTTGAACTTCGACCTTCGCTTTGCCAAGCGCAGGATGTACGAGCAAACACCTCAGCTTGCAAGAGGCCCAAGTGGCCCTGAGATCACAACGGGCAGCAGCTCAGACCATCGAATGTCAAAAGTGTCTAACTTGATTCTCACACGTTCAGCTAAGTGTCTTTGCACCCTGGCGGGACCACAGCCGGTCAATGCGACGAAAGCCAAGTAGCAAGGAAAACAAACCTGAGAGGCACCATCGGATTGCTTTCCTCCGTAAATGCAACGTCAGCATTGGGTGCCAACCCCATGCAGTCAAGGAACTAGGCATGTCACAAGGGCAAGGGCCAGCACGCCGAGTGCGGCAAGATCCTAACACCAAAGGGTTCCAGTGCACCCCTGCTGTAGTATTCAGTAGTCTCCTTTTTGTAGGGACGGGTGACTTTCCAATATGTGTGGTGTTCTCAAATTTCTGCTCCCTCTTGACTGAGGAGACGCCATTCAGGTAAGGAGGGATGGATCATGGCCAGTCCTGTGGGCTCAGCTTCTCCAGAATGCCAAGCATCCTTCAAGGAGCCTGGCACACCTCAAGCCATTGGGGAAGGTGCGGGCTTGGTTGATGAGAGACACATTGGAGGGTGGAGGAGCACAAGCACAAGTTGGCCACAGCGAGTTCGTTCTTAAAGCCCAGCCCAGCGGCCGGCCAATCAGGTCATAATGCCCATCGCGGGCGATAAATAAGAACAGGCAGCCAGTTCTTAAACATTGTATATATATATATTGCTAAATGCATACCTACCTATATATATATATATGTGTGTGTGTGTGTGTTTGTCATGTAGCGGCTTCAAATTGACGGCTAGCTGCTAGCTTCCGCGCTGGCCCAAGTCCACTGAATGGCTGGACTGCCTGGCTTTTGAACTGATGATAATGTGGGCCATGTTCTTTCTGCCCGCTGGCTTGGGCCGAGAATGCACATCACAATCTTATGCAAGCAAAACTGTCATGCATTGCAGACACCCCCATAGTTTGAACACATCTTCTGTTCCCATGGGCATCCTTGACATCTGACGAGTGCATGTACATCTATCCATCTATTTATCTATTTCTGGTATCTATCTATCGATCCATCCATCCACGGTTCTCTCTCTCTCTCTCTGTGTCTGTCTGTCTGTCTATCTGTCTGTCTTGGGCCCTTCAGCACGCGAAATCCAGAAGGAGTGGTCGTGCCTCCATCTAGGAGCCATGGAGTTAGGGCTGCGTTCTGCTAGAGTGGAGTCTTCCATCTGCTCGGCTGCGTTCTGCTAGGAGTCAATTTCGTTCAAGCAGGTGGAAGAACGTGCTTTTTTTCATTATTGGTCGCACTGGACGATGCTTCGTGGCACTTGAGGCCACCAAGCACTCGAAACCTGTATCTAAGCAGTGCCAGTACAAGAGTCACCAGGGTGTTCCAATAAAATAGTCTTTTGCATATAGCAAGTCCATTCCATGAGTGGGCAGAGAAGAACTGATCCTCATCCATCCTCTGATTGTCTCCTGCATGGACTGTGGGGCAGGAACCTCATCTCTGCGAGGTTCCTCACAAAGCGAGGCTCGCCCAACTTGGCCTTGTGGCTGTGAAAATCGTCCAGGCCGATCAAGGCCGATCAAGCCTTGAAGCTGCTCAGACCCCAAAAACCTGAGATCTTAGCAACTCGTGCCCAGACTCGACGCATTTCGAGCGTGCATGAGGAACCCAATGACAAGCCTGTGCCATGCGCAATTGGTGCGTTGTTCCAATTCTGTCTATAACTTCAATCCACAAAAGAAATGCACCCAATCGACCTAGCTCGGAATGCACTTCAAAACCTGACACTTCCCATGAAGCCCGTCAAAGCGGACGTCTTGACCACTCTGCGGCGTGTTTTCAGAAGCATCAGCTCCAGACGCCCCAAAGCCTCGTGAAACCAGGCGACAATTTCAGCAGAACTCCCTGTTGTAGGGCCATTGTAGGGCTGTCCTGGTGGTCTGCTGGAAGCAACAACGCCCAGACCAGGTCGGAAATCAGGCAGCCCCTCCCACCTGAAGAGGTCGTATCAGGTGGATTCACAGGCTGCCGTCCTTGCAAATCAATTCCGGGCACGAAAGACAAACCTGCCAAATTTGAAGAGCTTACAATTTTGGGACATGATCCAAGAATTGTGCATCCAATGCTTCCCGCTCTCAGCTAGGATTGGAGACCTATCATGCCCGGTGCCCTGCGATTTTGCAGGGTTCAGTGCCTAATCAGCGCCTAAGCCAAAGTTGGCACAGAGCTGAATCGAATTACTCCAACCCGACGGCCTAGGACCTGCAAGAAAACAGCAGCAAACCAGTCTTTTCTTCAATGGCAATTCTCCAAACACAGAACTCAGCCAAAGCCGTCGATTTCAAGCAAGTCCAAAGCATGAATGCTACGATTGTTCCTGTGGGAGCAGGCTTCGACTCTCCCACTGCAAACCTCAAAAGTCAATTGCCTGTAAGCCTTGGAAGCTCGCTCGGCAAAGGCCTTGTCACAATTGAGCCGACCGATTTGCCTTCTGTTGCGTCGGTTCGACTAGGCATGTGGAGTTGAACAGGGTTGGTCTGCATCGGTCTGACAGCTCAACGCAACAAAGCTGAGAAGTGCTCTAGCTAAGGCGTAGCATTGCCGAATGGTCGCTGAGGCCAGGCTGACTAACCAGCTCTAATTGAAACTCATAGGAACAGCCTGGCAAGATGCACCTGTGTATATGTGTGCGTCAGTATGCCGGAGCTGGCAATGTCGATTCCTCCGTCTTGCTCTCAATAACTTGAACTTGCATTGACTGACTGGTTCAGGCCAGCTTGGCGGCAAAGCTGGCCTCCTGGCCTGGCTTGCGAGGAAAATGGCAGCTCATCGTGGTGGCAGCCCGGGCTCAAATTCACAGGAACATATTCACTGAGCCTGGGTGTTTGCCCCTTCAGCTTAGGGGCCCTAAGCCTTTGCATCATGGTCAGTGAATCCACACAAATGGATTCCTGCATCCTGTGAACTGTTGCTCGGATCCGGACAGCCAAAAGGATTGCTAATTCCGATGCATCAAAAACTCTTCAACAATAACAACTTTGACATCTCAAAAGGCTTGGCTGGTCCAGGGGCTGAGCTGCTGAAAAAAATGCCGAACTAAGTCACTGTCACTCAGTGAGCCAGCAGAGTGGCTCAGTACAACCTAGGATGCTGCACATACCAAACAACCAATGGCCAAGCGCAAGAAACCTTCTGTCAGGCGGTCTATTCCTTTTCCGTATATCTGTCTCTAGAGGTAAGGTGAAAGGTTGAGAAGGTGCATTTGCATTGGCATCTTCTTGTCCTGAATCAAAAGATCACTCATTGTCGCCACGATGCGCTGCCAGAACTTCCTTGGCGTTGCATCATGCTCAAGTCCAGTCCAAGCATCATGCTCAAATGAGACACACCGCAAACATCGAGACCCCCTGATTCAACCCCCATCGTCCAATGGTTCAAGTGTTCACTCAACACCGGAGAAGGAAAGCAACACCGGAGTGTGCGTTGCACACTTTGCAATGTGTATTGATGGGCTCTTCCGCTGCAATTGGCGACCTTTTCTTTGTGCTTGTCGGTGGATGTTTGGCTTGTTGGGGCACCTGGCAGAGAGGAACGAACACCGGCGACCTTTCGGATTGCACCGACGGTTTCGGTGAAGGGATATCCAGCTACCTACTTCTTCTACATCTTCTGCACGAGCTCACAGTGAGCTTGTCCCACAGTAATGCAATTGTTCTGTGACACCTACTGCTCAAGTTTCGACATAGTTGTGTGGACTACGCTCGAGCTGTAAGGACATCTTTCTGGGGCGTTGAACGACGTCTTCCAGCGAAGTCAACGATAATTTTGATGTGTTATGCGCTACAAGCACGTGGTCCCTGGCAACATTTGCCATCCGCGGAGCTACCAAAGGCGTTGGGCTTGCAAAAGGCTGGTATTTGCTGCGCTTGAATTGTCAGGATCTCAACACCTCTTGGCGCCCTCTCGACATGGACACCACCAAACAATGTGATGAGGTAGTTACTTCGTCCAGCAACATCTCACAGAAAACACAATGGGACCACGTTCCCCAAAAGGATTGCCTAGCTAGTAGCTAGTGGTATATATATATATACCATCCCTAGACACCACGTGAATCACCTCCGTTTCTCACTGCGCTTGCAACTCTTCAACTCAGCCTGCAGGCTTGTGTAAAAAGCCGGAGCTTGGCTGGCATTCTGATCATGTTCAACTTCGGCAGCAGGGAGCATAAGAGGAATCCAAATTCTTGTGCACAGTTATATAAACCAAGTCTCACAGGAGAGCCAGCTTGCTTGGGATCCTCCCCGTGAACATGCAAAGGTGAGCTTGAGGTCGGCAGGGTTGCCTAACGAGAATACAAGAATGAAATGCCCAGGATGCCAGCACTGCCTGCAAGCCAAAGACAGGCACACGGCGCCTCTCCCTCTTGAAGTGGGCATTGCATCATGGACATAAATTTGTCCAGGCCTAGGTTCTGGACATGCGGATCCCCTCTAAGTGTTTGCCGGTTCTCCATGGACCTCTCTTAAAAACTCTCATGGCTCCCACATCACGACTCCCCCTCTCATTGCATTCCGTACGGCTAATTGTGGATTTCGCCGTCGGAGACTCCTCACGATCTGCTGTACGGGTCGACCTTGCAGACTGGAAGTACTGCGTCGGGTCGTTTGCATCGTGTCTGGTGCGGAGAGGACGTGCCGTGCGGAACTCACACCGAACTTGCGCCAGGATGCTTGATGATGTCCTCCCACTCCGACTCTGAGATACTATGAGAAAAAAGATGTGGCATGTCCTGGAAGCGGATGACACCGCTAGTACCTTGCGCAAGCGAAAGGAGACAAGGGCATTGTGAATCATTTGACTACTACTGCAATGTCCGCGGGGTCTGTCTGGATCCCTCACACGACCGTCTTGACAAACTTCCGAGCCCTTCCACTTCTCAAAGTTGCTCAGCTTCTCAAAGCAGCGCTTCAGCTGCGCAAAGGTATACTGCACTTGACCTCAAAGCATCAGCTGAACCAGGTGCGACCGTTGAGCACAATGGCGTGGCTGCGACCGCCAAACTACAAACAGATCCACAGTTCTACATACTACATCATGGAAACACTCCGAGCAGCTGCTGCCAGCAGCAGCAATGAACCTGGGTGGACAATGAATACAGAAACGCCCCAAGAGGGCATGCAAAAAATTTCAAGGAGCATGAAATGTTCTCTCCAGTGCCACCAAAGAGTCTCCCGATAGCCAGCCATCTGGGAAGACGGCCCGCCTAAGGCAGCAATCAACTCAGTAGCTTCTTCAGGGCTCAAGGTGAAGTCCTCAGATTGGAGTTGGCATTGGAAATGACAAAACCTTCGGAGCAACACTTCGGAGCAGCTCCTTCGTGAAATGCACATAAACATTCAGCACTTGCCCCTTTTTGGTGCAAAGACGGCCACATTGGGACTAATTTGAAGTGCTTCCTCTACATTAGATGCGCAATCAAAACAGCATCTAGATGGATCTCAGGTCAGCTAGGCAAAACCAGCTGGGGGACGGAAGTCTAAGGCAAGTCTGAGAGTGCCAAGGTGTTGATCAGCGCCAAAAATAGCCGTGCCAGATACATCCAGATCCTAGTTAAAATGGAGTGTACTTCTCGTCTCCTTTCACTTGCCCCAACTTGGTCAGCTCCTCGCACTTTCCTTGTTCATCCACCAGCCCCCCCAAAAAAAAAAGAGAGACACGCGCGTTGTGTGTGTCAACCTTTTTTGAGAAGCGGCCACCTTAAACCCCCAACCCACGATCTGCACCAAGAGGCTACCTTTCGGGCGGCCTCTCGAAGCTCCTCCACATCCAGTTGACCGTCCCCTGAGTCCATGGCCAGAAACACGTCTCGCAGCTCCTGCAGATGCAGAGCGACGTCACGGCCAGACTCTGCCCTGGGAGACGTACATTCGCAGAGGTTGACTCTTCGTGGTTGAGGTTCGGGGTCTCCGCTCAACCGGTCATTGAAAATGACGGCCAGATTCTAGCTTCAAGGATGCAAAACCCGCTGTGTCTGTTTGCGATTCTGGGGGCAGGTCAAGCTACCGGCCCAAGCTGCCATTGGAATCTCTATGGTCCTGCACTTGCTCCTCTCCGAGCTCCTGCAGGTGACAAGTTCACCCACCAATCATGCAGGGCATTTCATAGCATTCACAATTAATCCAGACCACTCCGCTTCCTGCGCTAACAACTGCAACGAAGCCCGCCGCAATTTGTTGTAGGAGGCATACTGCTTGAGGCCTTCCCGCACACAACCCCCGAAGAAAGGCGACTCATCACACCCAATTCGTCAAGTCTGCTAGGCTGCCAGGCCTTCAAAGACTTGCCCATTCAGGACACCAGTGTTGGTATTGCCTGAACGCCAACGGCTTCACTCAACATATGGTAACCAGGGATTTTCAGCCAAGAAACCATACGGTGTAGGCATATCGGGATTGATGAAAAAGGCATGCTGCAAGGCCTCTCCGACGGAGTGTCAAAAAGGCATCTCAGCATGCGCATCTGTCAGTCCATCCGGTCGCTCAACTCGTCGCTCCTGCTCTGCGCTGAGTCGTCGGGCTGGATCTTTCCTCGTGATGAAGAATACTCACAGGGCTCTCTCGCCTGTTCCGTACATGGCATTTGGGGTTACCTCTGCGGCCAAGAATCTCTAGCAATTTCTGGCAAACATCGCATGCTTCCTCTGAGATGTTACCTTGGCCAGTCTAGGTTTCCAAAACAGACATCACACATGAAGCCAAACAGGCAAATGTTCATGCAACCAAAGCACAAAACACATCATCTGGCAGTACCACCTAAGCTGACTACAAAAACATGAGCCCACATCTCACAACTTTCAATACATCGGCGGAAAAATTCACAGCTCCGTCGCCCTTGGCACATCGTTAACCATGCATCAAAATAAATCACGAGCTCTAAAGGACGCCGAGTTTCCGGTTTGGGTAAAACAATCTTTGCCTGCAAGACATGCAACACACTGACTCGGAGAGCAGAAGTGCTGTCGGAGAGGAGGTTTGCAAGCTGATGTTGAAAAATGACGCACCTGCACGGACTGTGCATCATCCACATTTGGAGTGTAGAAGGGGTGCCAGCCAGTGAGCATCTCGCACATGATGGCTCCTATGCTGAACATGTCCTTGGCTGCGCGGCAATCTGTGCAGTACAGTGTCTTTGCACGGTTCTCGGTTTCAAAAGGCGTGCTCAACACCTGGACACAGCGAATACGGCCGTGGTATAAGACCGTGCAGTGTACACAGGTCATGCTGGGCACAGGTGAGCATCTACTTTCTGGTCGTACACACCTGCATTGATCATCTCTGGCGCCATGTAGAAGGCCGTCCCGGCGCGCTGCATCATTTGTTTTCGCACCTCAGTGTTTGTCGATCGTTCTACGGAACAAATGGTGCAAGGAGCCTAAGTCCAATGGTGGCAAGGTGCATGAAACCAACGTGCTCCAACACGAGGCAGAATCTTGGCCAAACGTCCGAGAGACTTGCTTCTGGGCATCGACACCTGCCCGAAGCCGTGGCAGGAGCGGCAGTGTTTCTCCGGTCCCACTTGCTCACGTCAGCTTCAGTCATGGAAGCTCTTTCACTTCACTTCAACCCAAACAACTCCATCTTGAGTTCAGCCGACATGATTGAAACCAATCAAGGTCTGGCGGCCTGGCATCTTCCCATTCTCTATACTGTAATCCTTTCTAGCCTTTGAAACTCTCCGGCATTTTGGCATCAGACCAAAACCGACCTCTATGGCGTTCTCTCGCAGCTGCTGCGCGAAGCCCGCCAGACCAAAGTCGATCAGCTTCAGCGGGGACGAGGCCGTTGCCTCGGACTGACGAGGCTGTCGTCTCTGGCGTTCCATTGCAAACGTGTTGCTTTTGCAAAACTCGTGCCAAACAAAACAGAGTCCCAAAAATAGGACCCCTTGTTTTGTTCCAACGACCAAAAGAGTGTCAAGTGTTGGGACAAGTGTTTTGGGACAGTGTGCTTCTTGAATATCTTACTGTACTCTTTGCTGCTTGAAATCATTGGCGAAATGGCCGGTGAAGGATATCCTAGATACAAGCTGAGAAACATCCACGAAAAGCACGTTGTCGGGCTTCACATCCTGCCAATACATTCACACACATCTGAAGAAAGAGAACTGCTGGTGCTTGGCCTGTGTGTTTTGGGATTCTAGGCTGATGAGAATAGCAAGCATGGTGGCTTTTTCTAGGCCCTAGGCCACTGCGGCACTTTCATCTCCACTATGATCTGCTCGTACCCAAGGCGCATCACACCGTGCAAGAGCTATTTTCCGGACGTGCATTCATTCCATGGAATCTGTGTAACACAAAACGCTCACAAACACTCAACTACGGCCAGGGCTGTCCCGGTGAACAATCCCACCTCGGCTTCTGCCACACTCATGGGCTAACGAGCAGGCAAAAGCACAAAACATACATGTACAGACCCACCTGCAGTAGAAGCATTGGCCCTGCGCCTGAGCTCTCATCTTTGACCGAGCCACGTTTGTGGCAGTACATAGCTGCAGATAGAAGCTGTCGCAGCTGGTAGGCAACATGACCCTCCGTCATCGGACTCTTCAGCATCTGGTAATGATAGGCGATTCGGAAGAGCCTGAAATGCCGATGCTAAAGCAACAAAGGGCGCGGCCTGATCTAAAGCAGTTGTCTCTTTCCTAGGGCCATTCACCAAATGAAAAGGCTACGGCAGCCACCCTTCTCAATTTGGTTTTAGGCCCACATTGTGGTGATGCTGAACAGAGACCCCGTGCACGACAGCTAAGCAGCAAGTCCCCTCCAGTGCACAGCTCTGTTATCAAATAGACTTTCCGACGCCGGTCCTCAGCAAGGGTTTCAAACAGCATTGTTCACAAGAGTAGCCAATCCTCTTGCATCCTTTGCCGGCCGGCATTCAAACCCTGCGTCACACACTGAAACTTGAAGTTCTGCACGTTTGTTGATATGCAAGCTGATGGTTGAGTGGTCTGCAAGTGGTTGAGTGGATCACCACTTATCAAGTCACCCAAACTTTAGGCAGGAAGCTGTCATGCTTGGCTCAAAATAGACTTCATAGAGTTGCAAAACATGTGGGTGGTTCAGCACCTTCAGGATGGCAATCTCTGTGTCGACTAACCTCAGTGCTCATGCCTCTCAATCCCGTTGTCCAACTTTGTGTGTTCTCTCTCTCTCTCTCTAAACAGCCCGCGCACGAATCCAAATACCTTCAAGCTTGGTTTAGATGTTCTACTGCTGGAATTCATTGCACACACAGAAGGCCCCTGGCAACCAACGAAAACAATTACAACCACCATTCATGGTAAAGGCACTTTCGTTCCAAGGGTGTACTTGTCGTGAGCGCCTGAACCATGCCAATATCGTGTCCAAATGAAAAGGAACAAAAATGCACAAAATTACAATGTCCCTCTTGCCTGCTTCTTTCAAAAGCTTGACTTTTGGCCGACGCTTTGAGAATGTGGTGACACGCATGCTCTCACCAACCACGCCCGGATCTGCCTTGCATGCCCGCATCTGCCCACCGTAACGGTTTTTGGCTCGAAGTACGCGGCCGAAGGCTCCGCTGCCGACAGCTGAAATGAATTCGTAGTTGTCGAAGACCTTGGTGAATCAAGGCTTAACACTCTTTTAGAATCTCAAGGCGGCCATCACTTCAAGAAACCTGAAAGCTGCCATGTCAACTTGCAACTTGCTGCCCGGCAACCTCTAATTGACCATCATGTCTGGAACAAAGCAAGTCCTTGGGACCACCAACCGACGCAAGAACTGGGAGAGCAAAAGCAGCCTCCATAGAAGTTGTAATTAAAACACATCAATTTCGTCTACATTGGATTGGGTTTTTGTGGCCATTCCAAGTCCATCCGAGCAACGCTGTTCACTTCCACTGCAGCACTTGATTCGGTTCTCGGTGACACGACCGGATCGGCACCTTGCATGGCAAGCACGAACAATAAAGAAAGATTCGTGCGAAGTGGTCGATTCCGCATGTTAAAGCTATAAATCACTCGTGAAGGCCGGCTGAATTGCTAGTGAGGCAAGGCCTTGGTGAGGTTGGATGCTGCCAGCAATTCAAAACTGGGTGCCACGAAGTCATAAAAGTTTTTACCAATTCGTCACCACGTGTGGGTTCAAGTCTGGTGCCTTGTGTTCTGCTCCGCACTGATGACCGAGTGGAGTCCTCATCCTGCAAAGCAGTTTTCGTTACAGCATCCTGACAAACACAGCCAAATCCATTCAAATCCAACTGTCGTGAAAAATGTCTTAATCAAACCGTATTGGAAATTGGTGCTAGTTACTAGTGATCTTCGTGTTTTGGCTCTGAAGTACGCTTGTGCTGGATAAACCTTTCCGGTGCCGAATGTCAAATCTGCAACACAATGGAGCGTCCCAACCAAACACACGGCAGGGGTTTCAAGCCTTTTGTGGGACCAGGTTTTCTTTAAGCAAACAAGATTCTTGCGACAGCATCAACAAGGAAAATGGGTTGGTCAAATCAAACCTCTTATATAAACCTGTTCCAAGGTCTTGTGTTTCCTTTTCCCGCATCTTCCACCTATTCAATGTGTTGTCCCTCCGGGATAGTGCAAACAATGCTGCTCGGTCCAGGGCCTGGACCCCCCCTGATTGTTTTTGAGTTCGCGTTTAAAACTGGACACCCCCTGGTTGTTGCGCCCATTGCTGTGTATCAATGTATCCCACGCTCTCGTGTTTCCACTACAAATTGATATTTGTTGATTTAATGTGCTTTGAAATCTTCCCCTCGACAAAAAAACAATCCGTTTCACTTGGCAGATCACCACTCTGCTCCAACAAATACTATGAATTTGACCCCATTTGCAGGCTTTCAGTGTTCATGTTGATTTTCAACATATAATTGTTCCTCACTTCCTTCAGCCCGGTCCTTTGCAAAAAAGTTGCCAACGGTGGCCTTTCTTTGCAAGGTGTCCGTCTCGTGGGGTTCTATGAGCTGAGGTAAGGATTTGCTTCTCCAGGCATTCCGCCACTGCATTTGACCTTGGCTCAGGATTCGTTGTTGCATCAACATACACGGTCCTGTGTGGAAAAGTCAACAACTCCGCGTTATTTTGCCTTGGGACTGTTTACAACAATGTTTTTGCAGTTCTGCAATCACAATACAGTATACTCAAAAGGTTCACAGGCCATCATTTTTCCGCCACAGATCTCTTGCTCGTCGGTGTTGCAGGCATCTGTGGGCCAGTGGCACAAGCAGCACATACAAAGGCCTCACACGCAGGAGGCTAGGTCACCAGGTCCGCTAATTGCTTGAATTCATGATTCAAGAACTGCGTAAAATTCCGCATGCTGCGCTCATACCCATGTGGGCCCACTCACCTACAGCACGCAAAATGTGTTTTTTTTCCTCATTTTGTTCTTCACGTGCCTGATGGCCCCACCCCGCCTGCTCCAGAAACCACCACCTTTTGCACGGGCTGTCCAATGAACTTGTCTGAGACGCCCCCTTTGAAACGGGTAAGGCATCGCAAGCTACGTCAGCGCCGCCCATTGGCCCATGTGCGATTTCCAACTACAACTACAAATGCAACCGTCCTCGTGTGGAGACAAGTTTTCACGATGTGTAGTATACTAGTATACAGGTTTCCAGTCAAGGCTGAAACAACCCATCCCCACAAAAAATACAAAAACCAATCATGAAGCCTCCTATGTCCGGTATGCAATCAGCTTAACCCAAAAGGCTACACAGACAAACCTCTCAAATCCACACTGCCGTTCGCGACACCAGTAAGGGTTTGAGTTGACGTTTCTTTGGCATTGGCGGCCGTTTTCTCACAGTACAATTCTGCGAACGCGTGCGCCACAGCAGGACCACTACGACGTTCCCCGCTTGCTCCTTGCGCTTCGGGGAGGCAATGCCCACCGCGGTGGAACACTCCACTGTTTTACGGAAAGCTGCTTGCAGCTTGGTTTGCCGATGGGAACCCTCCCCGTCAGGCTCCCAATGCACCCACACCCCTCGCACAACACAACACCACGCAGCAAAACGCGCAGACTCGGAAATGCAGAAAAGGAAGGGTGGCAACCTCAATTGTCCAGCACTTGGGCTCGGTGCCCCTTTTAGGCTGAGCGCTCATCCAGCTGTGTGAGCAGCTCGGGCAGCCAATGTGGGTGCAGGGTCACCTTACCTTACCTTATCTTACCTTACTTTTGCAATTGGACTACATGTTTTTTTGAGCCAAACGCCCGCCAAATTTCAGTCCAAAACGAATTCGTGGTGGTCGCATTTTTGAGGTTGTGACACTGAGGGACAAAGTTCCTGGATGTCTTTTGGGGGCACTCAAGTTCCGCGGGGAGAGCTCAACGCGCTGCACATTGTCCTCTATGCCACCGAACGTTAACTCAACGTTCTCGGACACCAGCTAGTTAATTACCATCCAGGTTGAGCAGGGAAACTTTATCCGAGCTCGCAGGGGTGCTCCCAAAACAAAGAGCGGTGGAACGGGAACACTCCTTCCCCACCGGTTTGTGCACACCAGAACCATGGATTTGCAGACATGGTGCTTGTACATCGCCATCAATATTCCTGTGGGTTGCTTGGCACGTAGCATGGGATGGCCCACAGGGAGGACTGTACCGCGTCGTGCACGGCTCCAATTAGTGCCCACCCGCCAGCTCATCTTGCCCCAAGCGTTTGCACAGTTCCCAATTTCAAAACCCACAGGCGGGTTGGTCACCTGGAGCGTGAAGATGCATCCTGCGCGGGTGAGCAAGGGCACGGGCGCTCACTGTGCGGTTTGCCCAAAATCGTCCCCGTCGTGGTATTGTCGGCGCATGCTGCGCCCGCCGTGGATGCAGAAGCGGGGGAGCAGAACCCAAGACCACCCTCTATTTTAGTTGCCGTTGGTCCGGATTTTGCCCGCAGACCAAAGGTACTGCGTGGAAAAAAAGAACATGCATGTTGAGTGGGCCGAGGAGTGCCATGAGGGCTCTGACCAGCGCCACTCGTTGCGCTGCCACTCGCTGCTGCCCAGAGGCGGGGGCAGTGCAACAATATTCTGGGAGTTGCGGCTGTCTTCCGTGGCCCTGCTATGCCAGCTTCGGACATTGTGGCAACCCAAGAAAAAAATCTTCGAGGAATGGGTACTGGACACCTATCCGCCTCGTGAAGTAGTGCGCAAGCTCGAAAACTTCCAAACTCAGTTAGGCCCCGACAGCAGCGGGTTCAATGTACAGGGGCGAAATCAAACAGTTTTTTGCTTTTGGGTTGCCGTTGAAACTGACGTTATATCACAATCTTTTTGGTTAGGCTGTGCGCAATCCAGGCGTACACCTTTTCTTTTACAAGCACAATACACTGACCTTGCTGTACCACGTTGACGATATTCGGTGTGGGTTAAACGGTGAAAATTGGCACGTTTGGGCAAGCAAGATGGGCACTGTCGACGCAGTGACGGTGCTGGCACGCCATATGGCGTGCGGCTGGGTAGCTACCCAGATTTGGTGCGAACTACAGTTTTCGATGGCCATGCCCATCAGCACTTGGCCCTCGAAGGAAAATTCACTTGCCAGATCTGCTGCGACCGACACGGGGCTACAACTCGACGAACGGATTTCCGGAACTCAACACATAACGTGTGCAGCGTTTGTTTATGGACTGTTCGGTGTGCGAAATTTCGACACACGATTCCTCATCAACACCACCAAGATTGAAGAACCCGGCGATTGGCGTAAAAAGGTTTTTCAATGCCTTGCAGCACATGATATTGCGCATCGACCATATGGTTCGCAAAGTGTTTCGCAATCAAAAGGCGACCCAACCACTTTTGGCCTTGATCGGGCCCCCGGATTTTGAAATGATGCCTGTTTGTAACAGACAATGCCGAGGGTGGTTTCTGTTGTGATGACCGCTCTGTCTTCATTCAAGCACAACCCGACCCCTGCAAGGAACGAAACCAACGATTCTAACATCATCGGCATTTTCCATTGCGCCCGTGCAAAGATGCAAATGTCGCTGGCGTGTCTGCAACGGCAAACAATATTAATCATCCAATGTGTTGCCTCCATTTCCGCATGGCAGGCTGCAGAACGGAACACTACAATCGGGGCTGAGTACGCACCTTTGTCTCACACCGGATTGGATTTCGAAGTCGCGACTGCTCCCCCATTTTCCAAGGACCACTCCCAGTTGGTCACAGTATACGTCCGAAAGTACCCAGATGATCTGAAACACCGTCGGCCGACAAAGTTTCCCATATTGCATCCCATCGCATTTGTCAAAAGCCTTAGACAAATCCAGACTAGTGATCCAAAACGGGATTCCGGCTGCTGCCGTCGTGTCCAAAAATTAAATTAGCTGTCAAAAAGGTGTTCCTCAATCCGGTGTGCCGGTCGGAACTCATGCTGTTGGCCCCTGGGCAGCTTCCAATCGCGATTCGATGCGGGCCAAGCTTATGTAATCAAAACACCTTGTAGAATAATCGGACACAGGCCATCGGGCGAAGTCCGTTGTTCGAACTGCAAGGGTTTTTTGGCAAACATGATGAAAACTGTGTTATTCCACGATGACGGTACATCACCTGAGAGAAGCACACAGTTAAACGAATCCAAACAGTACAACCAAAAATTCGTCCAATTGCACATGTTGGCAATTTCCTACATTCTACATGTTCTTTTCTATGGTGGCGTTCATGGCGGCCAGCGCGGCACACGCAGTGGCCTGCATCTGGGCGAAACGAAGTTAAATGATTCAGGCCAGCCGGTTGGGCCCAAAAGATCCCTCACTTACTTTGACGGAAGCACAAGGCCTGTCACCGTCGAGCACGTTTTGCACAAGTGTCTGGTGGCCAGGGACCATATGGCAACTCCCGACAGGAAAGCAGACCAGTGAGGGAGCGAGCTTTCAAGTGGCCAATGGGTGGAGGGATGCGGCCTCATACACCTTTGCTTCTTCAAAAGGTTTGGCTTGGGTTCTTTGTGTTGTGGCAGGAAACTAGCAACTCAGAAGAAAAACAAACCAGAGTCCTCTTTTCCAGTTCCCCCAGAACCGGACAACACAGGAGCGGCCTTGTCCCATACCGACGTCATTGCTGCGAATGTCAAATTAACGCACGTTTGCCGTGTCAGCAGTTCCGAACTGGAGGATGTGAAACCCGCAAAGGTTGCCATGGGCCGCAGTCAGCAGTCGATTCCGGCAGTGGGCATGGGCTGGCATGCGCAATACAGACAAACTTGGGTACTCCTGCTTCCGCGCACTTCACAGGCGGCTTGTGCTTCAGCAGTGGCAGTTGCATGTACTCCAGATGCCCTAAAGGCCAGCGGGGTGGGGCGATCAGCAATGGGTGACGCGTGGCCCTTATGGGTGTGCTCTATTGGATAGGCCCATCGCAGAAACAGAATCAATTTTTTCAAGCAACTGTCCACGAGGCCACTGCAGCACCATGGCGGTCACAAGTTCAATTCAAGTTTTGTTACTTATGTCCGGTTGTGGCGGCAACGGGCGCGCCACTGAGCCAGTTCCGCCCACCGACTCCATTGGGGCGTGTTGTTGGTTTGATGGCTGTCTGTTTGGGGACGGCAAGCTGCACCACAAGCGTGAGTCACTCCCGCACAGTCATTTTTGGCCTTTACGACCAGCGCCCCTGCAGTCAGTTCATTGAGGTGCTCGTAGAGCAGGAGGAACTCCGCGATGACAAACACACCCTCGACAAAACACCTGCTACTGCTACTGTTTCAGCGCTGTCGGCTGCTTGCATGGGTCTTGAAACACGGAACGAGTGTTGGCGTCAGCTGGCCCGGCACGCAGCTAAGATTCTAAAAAACAAACATGTACTTCCCAGAATCATATGCTTATGGATCAAAATCCTCTGGAAACCTCGGCTTCGTCTTTTGAAGTTCCGACGTGACCCCTGCGTCCCCCACAAACACACACTACACAGCAGCATGTCTTTTAATGGTTTGTTAAAAATACATTTGCTGCGCATTTCAGTTCATGGGTGCCTTCTCGGTTTGGGTTCCAGCACACGACTTCGCTGTCGAAGTCCTCAACTGTATTCCAAGGTGTCCACTTGTTTCACCTGATGTTGGCATTTCAATTTGACTTGGCCTTGGCCGCTGGCAACCTAGCGGAATACTACAACAACACCCCTCAACAAATATGTTGGTGGCCATCCACCATCCAAACCCCAATCTTACAAAGTTTGATAACATTTGCATTGTTTGAATGTCAATTTCGTTAACTCCAAACCGGGATTGCTGCGGCACAGTCCGAAGCGAGGACACGTTTCCGGGTTCTCCTGGCGTTCGCCAAACAACGACTTAACGGACAACGATTTCGTGTTCATCTCCGTAGCCATATCGTGTTTCGTTTCATTTCGTTTCTAATTACGCCGACCAGTTTCAAACTGGTTTGCCTACTTTGTTTTTCGTACTTGCTGTTTTTGGGGCGTTTTGTTGGCAGCCCTTTTTTAACATCCAAACCGTAGTTCAGCCATCTCCCCGCTCTTCACTAATCCCGTGCTTGCCACGTAGTGTAGCCTGTGGTTTGCGGTGCGGTAGCCTTACTGGTGCTAAGCCTGCATGGATGGGAGAATGTGAATA